CCGCCCTTCGCCCGAACCGCCGCCAGGCATCGCCGCGGGGATGCAGCCACCCCACGGCACGTGGGGCCCTGCTCCTGGGGTCCCGTCCAGGCCCCCCCCCCCCGCAGCCCCCCACCATCACACGGGCTGTCCCCCCATCAAGGGCGGGAGTCGCCCCAGCCCCGTCGGGTGCTCGGGTGAGACCCTCGGGGGGTGGCACCCGGGACCCCCGCGGGACCCCGCCTCGGAGCCGTTCCCGTGACTCACCCTGGGCGCAGGCTGGCTGTACATGGCGGGGGGACCCCGGGGATGGGGGGGGGGGGCCGCGCTGAGGCCCCCGGGGAGCGGCGGCGAGCTCGGCCTCGGCGGCTGGGATTATTATTTCTTCCTGAAATAGCACAGTCCCTCCCCTCCGCCACCCCCCCGCTCCCCACAGCCGCTGCCTGGCCAGCACCCCCCGCTCCAAACCCCCCCCCCGGCTGCTCCAGTTTGTCCCCCCCAAAACCAGCACTGGGTGCTCTCTGCTGCCTGCAGACCTCTGGGGGTCCCCTCTCTTGGGGTCCCTGCTATTGGGGTCCCCCCCATCGAGCCCCAGTGCCCCAGGCCCCCGGGGACCCCATCCCTGCCGCAGCTTCTGCTTGAGACCCCCCAAGCTACGAGCACCCCCATGACCCAGGATCTGTGTGTCCCCCCCGGGGACGGTGCCATCCCTGTGCCACCAGCACCGCAGCGACCATGGCGGATGGGGGGGGGGGGGTGTCTGCCATGCACCCCCCCTCGCAGCGATGCTGGGGTGGGCACCCCACTCTTCCCACACCCCAATCCCCCCCCCCCCGCCTGATGCAATCGCCACGTGCCCGGCTCAGCGTCCCTCTGCCTTGGCCAGGATCGACCCCCTTTCCCCATCCATCCGCCCGCGGCGGGGCCGGATCCTGACGCCCCCACCGGCACCCCCAGCCTTCGAGGGCCCCTCTCCCTCCCTTGAGAATTTCTAGGACAAACTTTGCTAAGCCGAAGCTTGGCGAGAGCCCGGCCTGAGCAGCCCTTTCCTCCTGCTAAATAATAAAAATAATAATAAATCCTGGGTTTAAAACAATTTGCAGCCCCGGTTCAGCGCTCAGCGGGGTGGGACGAGGATGGAGCCATCCTGACCGCGGGGTCTGGGCCCCGCTGCCTCACCGGGGGGGGGCGGATTTTGGCCCATTTGCTGCAGTGCTGGGGGGGGGAATGTGGCCCCCCTGATGATGTTAACAGCTGGCCGTTAATCCGGCCGGCCGCTGCCCGGCAGGGAGGAGCAGGATGAGATCAGGGATCGGGGCGGGGGGGCAGGGAAGGGGGATTAATGGCTTCCCATGGCGGCAAATTGCAACCCGGGGGGGCCGCCTGGGAGGGGGCGAGGTGGGCTTCCCCCCCTCCCAGAAGTGGGTGGCAGGGGAGGGACGGCAACGCCCCGGGGACATAAAGCCATCGGCAGCCCCACGATGGCGTGTGCATTGCGTGCCTCAGTTTCCCCCCTAAACTCCTGGCGCTGTGGGAGGGGGGCAGCGGGAGGACACCCCCCTCCCTCCCCGCCTCGCACCCCCTCACTGCCCCACGGTCAACCGAATCATCCCGGCACCCTACGAGCAGGTATCGCCTCCCACGAGAAATGGGGAAACTGAGGCACGGGGTGGGGCGCGGGGGGGGGTGGGTCTCAGCAGGGTCCTGCCGCCCTCCAGCTGGGAAGGAGCGGGAGGAAAATATCCCAAATGAAGGAATGGCTCCAGGAAACCGCCGGGATGGAGCGGAGGGGCCCGGGGGAGGGTGCGCGGGCGGTGAGCTCAGCGCACAAACAAGCGCGCCCGCCGCCAGGAAAAGCCTCATTTCCTCGGCCGCGGCGGGGGCCGAGCCCGGCGAGACCCGGGGGGGGGCGAACCGTGTGTCGCCCCCAACCCAGCCCGCGGCGGGCAGGGGGTCTCCCCGTAGGCCCCCCGCCCCGCTGCCGGCGGAGAACGGCTTTGGCACCGGTGCCCCCCCCCCCCCCGCCAGCCCGGGCACGCCGAGATGCTCCGGGTGCGCCGTGACCACCTCGACATGGGGACGGGGACAGGGGGGCGACGGCGGCGACACCGAAACCGCATCGCTGGGGCCTGGGGGGGACAAGGTACCCACTCCTCCCCCGAGCACAGTCAGGGGTTTCCCCCCCCCTCTCCCCGCCGCCTCTAAACCCCACAATATGAAAACCGGCGATGGACGGTGACAGGGGAAACTGAGGCACGGCTTCCCCACAGGGCAGAGAATCAACCGAACGCCCCCAAGCCCCCATCCCAAGCGCATCGTCGCGTTTCAGGGAGGGAATCACCCCCCCCCCCCCCCCCCACCACCACCACCCCCCCGCCCCGCTCTGCTCCCCCTCCTTACCTTCGTCTTCCCCGTCATCCTCTTGATGAAGCTGAGGGTCCGGCCCAGGGGGGTCTCCTCCCAGCTCTGGCTCCCCGCCTCTCCCGCCAGCTGCCCGCAGCTCCCGGCGCCGAAGCTGCAGGAGACGGAGGATCCAGCCTGGACAATCCCGCTCTGTCCCCGGGGCCGGGAGAAATAGGGAGGAGCGAGCCCGGTCGCCCCGGCTTCTCCGGGGTGGCTGCTCCGCTCCCAGCTGGGACCAGCACAGAGCCCCTTCTGTTCGCCCCGAGCCCCGCGGGTGTGGAGATGCCCCCCGCCCCCCAAGGCGGGTGGCTACGGCCCCTCCTCAGCGACCCCCCCCCACTGTGTCACCTCCCCCGTAATTTGGGGAGCGGGGCGTGGTCCCGGGCTGGATGGGTGCCATTGCAAGGTTTGTGGGGTGCTAAGGGCACAGACACATCCCCCCTGCTTCTCTCCTGGGGGGGTTTCCACTTATGACTGGCCCTGGGTCCGTGGGGACACCCTCGGTGGGGACAAGCCCCGCTCCCTGGGGACACGGGGGGGGGGGGGGGGATGGTTTCAGGGCGCACGGGCCACGCAGCACCATCCTTTTTGGCGGGGTGGTTCAGGGTCAGCTTGTCCCTGTCCCTGTCCTCGCTTGTCCCCCGCGGGGCTCGCCGCCAGCCCCGGGCGCCACAATTCCCGGGAACGGCCGCCCTAATGAAGACGGGAATGGGCTGTGACAGGCGCCGGGGACGGCACGGAGCCCTGCCAGGAGCGAGGCCTGGCCCCCCGGGGACAGGGGGGGACACTCCATCCCCCCCCTCCAGCCTGCTGGTCCTGGGGGTTTTGCTCCTGCTGACCCTGACGCCGCGAGTGAGTGAAGTGTGTCAGGTCTCAGCCTGACCCCGTCGCACGCAGCCATCCCGTTCCTCCTCTGCAGCCACAAGCAAAAAATATTTGGGCCAATATTTTAATTCTAAATCTCCCCTCAGGGCTCGCTGGTCCCTGAGTTGCCTCATTCACACCCTGGCACAGGGGTACATCGTGGTCCCCCAGCCCCGTGGCTGTGTCCCCGTCCCCCCCACCCCACCCCAACTCACCCATTGACCAGGCTCTGCTGGGAGGTGAAGGGGGAAATTTCTGCAACGGCAAAAGAAAGATGAATTTAAAAAAGGGGCCGAAGCGCGGCGAGAGAACCCGGCTCTTTTGGCTAGTGAAACATCTGCTGTAGTCCAAGGTTGTTGCGGAGGCGGGGATGAGAATAATTAACTTTGGCAGCACTGCCATCGATTTTGGGTCATTATTAGGGAGGTTTGAGCAGGGATAGGGAGGCAGCGCCGGGAGGTGCGATGTCGGGGCCGTCGCCCCGGTCCTGCCCGGGGTGGGGGGGGGGGACACGTGGGTGCTGCAACTCACCGTCCGCGTCGGGGAAGCTGTCGATGATGCTGAGCGACGCCGATTTGGAGAGGGCGCAGCCGCCGGCGCTCTGCCTGGCCCGGTACGCCGGCAGCCTCCGCGCATCCTCCTGCCAGGGGCGATGGGGTTGGCACCCGGGGCCACCGGCTCCTGGCCCTGCCACCCTCTGGTGTCACCTCTGGGTGACACAGGGCAGCTGCGGTGCCCAGGATGGTGCACCCGGGCTTGGGTTGGTACCGGGTGGTCCTCAGGTTCATGGGCCATTTATTTTCCCCTCCCCACCGCCGACCCCCAAAACGAAGCTGCTCCCAACCTGAGCAGGAGTGTCCTGGGGTGACGGTAAAGCCACCCAGGACGGGGTTTTTCTGGGGACCCATCGTGATCCCACCCCTGGGGTCCCCTGCCCTCACCCAAGCTCAGCCCCTGAATCCATCCCCTGGCTGCGGTGGGTGCTGGGTGACAGGACACCCTGGGGGGGGGGGGGAAGGCAGGAAGAGGAGGAGGAGGAAGAGGAAGAGGAGGCTCCTACCTGCGCCCGCTGCACATCGGCCTCATCCTCCTCGTCCTGGGAGAGGAGGGACTCCAGGTCGTCGTTGCTGTGGACGAGGGGGGCTCGCCGGGGGTCCCGCCGGTGCTGCCCCAGCCCGTCCAGCTGCTCCGTGCTGGATCGATGTCGTCGGGGCTCAGCCCTTTGAGGCTCACGCTGCGGCGGGGAGAGGGGGACACTAAACTGGGGAGGGGACACACACACCCCCCCCCCCTCACACACACCCACCCCCCAAACCGTCACCCCCCCCGCGGGGTGAGCCTTGCTCTAGCACCCGGCTTTTGGGGTGTCCCCACTGGGTCAGGGCAAGGGATGCTTGTCCTCAGGGTGCAGCCGGGGATGCTGCACGGAGGACCCCGACTCCTGGATTGGGGGGGTGTGTGGGGGGGGCTGCAGGGCCAGGATGGGGACGCGGGGCAGGTCACCGCTACCTGAGCTGGTCGTAGCCGGGGACCCCCTGCAGCTCCTTGCCTGGCTCCCAGCTGTGCCGGCGGAAGGGGTCCCGGGAGCGGATGGAGGTCCGGAGGGCGCAGGATCGCCGCATCGGCACCCCCCGAAAGCGGCCTTCGTCCTCATCTTCCTCCCCCTCCTCCTCCCAGCCAGCTCCTGGGGCTGGGGCTGGCGCGGTGACGGGTTCCAGGGCCGACATGCAGCGGCGTTTCTGAGGGGACCCCGCAGAGGGCACCTTCGCAGGGACCCAGGAAGATGTCGGGACCATCCATGCCGTGCTCAGGGCCGGACGCTGCGGGAGGAAGGAGCGGAGGCGTTGGGGGGGTGGTTGGCCCAGCCTTGGCACAGGGCATGAAACGAGTTGGGGGGGTCTCAGCTGAGCTCTGCAGACACCCCCCCCCCCTTCCCTTCCCCAGCTCCCCCAGATGTTTTTTACGGCCGCTCTCGGAGCTCTAAACAGCCTGTAAAGCTTATGATGGCCATAAAAGAGACCCCCCGTCCCCGGCGCTGCCCTTGCCGAGCCCCACACACTGCGCGGGGCCCCCCGACCCTGCAGCGCCGGCGCCGCGATGAAGAGGGTTCCCGGCCCCCCTGGCCCCCAGCCCTGCACAAACACGGCGGGGGGGGGGGGGGGGTGGCGGCTGGCAGGAACACACAGAAACACCCACTCGAGGCCGAGCACGGCCCCGCACCTCGCTGCCGGTTACTCATTAAGCGCCCAGGAATTTGGCTGGGACGCGAGCGGCTCCTCGCTAGCTTGGCCGGGGGCTGGGGGGAGGCTGAGCGGTGATGGGGGTCCCACCTCCCCAGGGTGACCCCCTCCATGGGTGCAGCCCGCCCACCCAGACACAAAACCCCCAAATTTCCACCTTGCCGGGGTGATACATCCCCTCCGGAGCGGCCGTCCCTGGGGAGAGGATGCTCAGGTGGCTTTGCAGTCGTTTGGGGACCTGGATTTAGTCTGGTGGCGTCTGCCCCCCCCCCTTGTGCTGGTCCCAGCACGGCAGCAGGATGGGAACTGGGGCAATTTTAGCCTGGCCATACCCCCCCTGCCAGGAAAGGCCACACCAGGCTGGGGAAGCTGCCGAGAGCCTCAACACACCCTGAACACCCTGACACGCCTTGGGCTGCCCACGCCGAGCAGCCACAAAAGCCCTTAGAGGCCGGCCACTGCGGGGTGCAGCTTTTAGCCCCCTCAACCCGGCTCCCATCATCCCCAGTCCCTCCACCTTGCCGCAGCAGCAGTGCAGCATTACCCCCCTGCCCCCCCTCAAACAAAAACCCCCCTCTCCCACTGCCGTTAGCGGGATGGAGCCAGGGCTGCAAACCCCACCGGAGCACCCCGCTCCCTGCGACCCAGCCCATTGCTCCAGCCCACGCTGCCCACCACCCCTAAAACACCAGTGGTCCCGCCAGTGCCCGAGGCTGGCACATCCTCCCCTGGCACTGCCCAGCTCCGACTCACCCTGCTGCGCCCGAGCCCCGTGGGCAGCTCTGGGCCCCCCCCGCCCCGGCCAGCCCCGCCTGGGACAGGGAGGGAAATGGGATGAGCTCTGTCATTTTCCTGTTTTCACATTCCCAGCCCAGTCAGCTGATAAAAAACCCCACTTTCCTTCAGGTCTGCCCATCATCGGCCCAGGACCGGAGCAGAGCGAGTGAGTGGCTTTGCCATAAATACAGAAGAATATATAAACAGCAAAGATAGCGTCCATCGCTCGGTGGCACTTCCGCCACCGATAAGCACGGCTCTCCCCAAAAGCACACAAGGCGACCTGGTGATTTATGGGCTTGTACAGGTATTGGTGCCAGAAAAACAACCCGGATGCCCAGGAGCTTCCTGGTTTAGTGCCAGAAAACACCTGGGAATCTCGGGGTGTAAACCCAACCTCCGGAGCAGGGAGCTGGCAGCACAAGGGACGGAATCTTGGAGCAGCATCCCCCAAATCAAATCCCGACCCTGCGGGCAACCCTCCAGCCTCAGCAGCCCCTGCTATGGTTTGGCCCCCCCGCCTCCAGTCCACCCCAGTGCCCCGGGGTTCACCCCTCACCCCAAGAAATCAAACCAACCCCATTTATCACCAGTCAGCACTGGGACACCGGCAGCAGCTTCCCCCCGGCACGGCTCCCCCGGGGCAGCGTTACCCCGCTCGGTGCCCGGCTGCATCGGCGAGAGGTGGGCTCCTCCGGCCGGGAGCCACGAACTTCCCCGCAGCACCAAAAGCCCGGCCCCGAGCCGGCCCCGAGGCCCGTGGTTGTATTTCAACCCCTCCAAAATGTCGGTGAGCACCAGCTGGAGAGCAGCGAGGCGGCTGGGGATCGCGTTACCCGGCGGCTGGGCTCGCCGACGGCCTTCGGCTCCCGGCTGGGATGCGGGGACGGTGGCACGACGGCACAGCCCAGCCAGGGGATGGGGGCTTTGGGGAGATGCCCCCACCCTGCCCCTCTGCTCTGCGCTGAGAACGGCCAACGCTCATCACTGGAGTGCATGAATAGGGTCCCCTCACCGCCTGCTCCAGGCCAGCGTGAGTGCTGGGGACGAGAGATGTCCCCAGAGGCCCCGGGTGCCGGGGACAAGAGATGTCCCCAGAGGCCCCGGGTGCCAGGCAGGCGGGCGGGCCATGGGTGTCTGGGTGCTCTGGGCAGCTCCGCCAGCACTTTGGACCCAGCCAGAACAGCGAGCACCAGGTCGGAGTCACGGCCCCAAGGGGAAGAAGCAAGAAGCAAGGTCTTCCTCCTAAAAATTACTCCGACCCAATGCCAGGGAGGGCTCCGTCCTCTGCAGAGGGGTGAACCCACCCCTGCTCTGGGCAGGACACGGGTGTCAGCTTGTCGTCCCCAATTCCTGCCCGGGCAGAGCCGGATTCCCCCGGGGAGGATTCACCGCCGGCCACCGGCTTTCTCGGCGGCTGGAGGATGCTCGTGCCGGCCACCCCTGCGAGACGGGGAAACTGAGGACGGGAGGGACGAGCGACCGGCTCGGGGGTCACGGCAGCGACTTTTGGGTCAAACCCCGTCAGCACCAGGGAGGGACCCAGGTGTCCTGTCCCCGCGGTCCCAGGGGTGCAGCCACAGCACAGGGAAGGTGCCGGCGAGTGGGTCGGGAGGGGGACAAAGCAGTGGCAGCGGGTGAGGTGGGTGCTGCAGCACCCATAAGGGGGGGGACGGGGGCTCCTGGGTGGCTCAGGTCACCCCCAGTCACCCGGGATGTACCTGGGGATCCTGTCGGTGATGCGGTGGGTGGGCCCCATGGGACCCGCTCCTGGCAGCGATGCCGGGTGGGTACCAGCCCTGCACCCAACTCCCCAGGTGCTCCCTCCTCCTCCCCCCTCTGTCCTTGCCTCTTTCACACACAAAATAAACCAGGAACCACCTGGCAAATCAGATCCTTTTCCCTGTTAACCCTTTGTCCTGCGTCAACGCAGATCCTCCGCGCCGCCCTCGCCAGCGGACAGACACCCCCATTGCCATCGGGCACCCCACATTCAGCCTTGCTCCCCACTTCTCTCCTCCCTTACCCACCCACCGCAGCTCCGTGCTGGGCCGCAGGTGCCCTCAGCACAGAACAATGCTCTTTATTCCCCAGCCCGTCCCGTTTTTGGGGTCCAAGAACAGCCTTACGGTCCCCTCAGGGTCTGAACTGCCCCTTCCTGCCCCCCGGGAGTCCTTCCCGTGGGAGTTACGGATGATCCACCACAGGTTGGAGCAACAAGCAGGAGCTGAACAAGCCCAAAGAGCTGTAGGACAAGGAGCGTTACTCCGTGCCTCAGTTTCCCCGTCTCCCACAGGTGGGGATTTCCTTCCCCCTGGGGAGCTTTGGCGCAGCACAGTCACACTTTTCCGACCCGACACAACTCGCTGCCAGCTCGGAGCTGGGTTTAAGCAGCCGATATGGGTGCAGGGAGCTGGTCGGGGTGGGGAGCAGGGCACCCACAAACTGCGATAAGGGACAGGGCAGGTGGAGGTGACTCAGGCTCGCAGCAGCCTCACGGGGCCCACGCGGCACCGTCTGCCGCGGGGCTGAGCCCCGTCCGCACCAGCCCCACGTTAACCCCGTCGCACGGGACCCCCGGGGCGGTGCCGGAAGGATTACGCACCTCGGACAAACCCAGCACGTCCGGATCCAGGAGGGGTTTCATTTCCTGGGAAAAGCCACCATGAAACGAAGCAGCCGCAGACGGAGCAAACCGATCCCGCACGGGAGTCACCTGCGAGCGATAAACCCCCGGCGCGTTTAATCCCCACCTGCCAGAAGTGACCTGAAGGTTTCGAAAAGCCTTTGAGGTGTCCCAGCACCGCTGTCACACCAAGCACCCGTTCAGCAGAAAATAAAGGACAAATAAAGAAATGCCCTCTCGCCACACGCGTGTCCCCGGTCGCCCAGCCCGGAGCCAGCCTGCTCCTTGGCACCGGCTCTCTGCTCAGTATTCCTCAGGCTAATTATTTTGCCTGCGAGGAACGTGTTTGTTTTAAATAAACAGGTGGCACCGGGGACCTTTGCGCAGCTTTCGGGAGAGCGGTGCCAGGAGGTGACGCCTTCCCCAGAGCGCCCCGGGTCCAGAGCTGGCACAGCTCGGTCCTGCCCTGCCCCGCGGGGAGAGAAACCGCAGCCGCCGGGGCAGAACAAGCTCCCAAGTTTGTTTGTTTGTTTGTTTTGTTTTTCTGAAACCATCGGGATTTTAGTCGGACTGCTGCCCCGGTCTCGGGAGCGGGGAACAAGCCCCTCTCCCAGCTCACGCACGGGTTGCGGGGCTGCGTGGGAGCCCAGCGGCCATTTCGGCTCCTGGTTTTCAAGGCGAGGACCCGAGACACCAAAACGCTCTAAATATTTCCAAGGGTTTTCCGGAACTGGCCTCCCTTCACCAGGGTGCAGGAGGACGGGGGGGGGAAGGGTGTCCTCAGGGCTCTCCTCCTGGCGCACGCGAGCTCACAGCTCCGGCTCCGAAGCTCTGCCACCCCGCACCAGCACCAGCCGCGTCCCACCACCGGCTCAAGGCTCAAAGAGCAGCGCTACCGCTAGAGACACGACACAGACAACCCTTTACATCAGCCTCCTGTCCAAACACCCCCAGCCTGCCCTCGGAAAGCCAACCCCGAGCGCTGCTGGCAGCCGGCATCGGCTCCCTTCACCCTTTTCCGCCTGCGGACCCCGAGGGTGCAGCCCCCGTTTTGCAGCCGGAGCCGCCTTACCTCAGCCCGGCGAGGAGATCTCCGCTGCCGGGCACATCTGCACCAGTCAGCCCAGTTGGCACAAAACCCCCCCCGCACCCTCCGGAGGGTTTTTTTGAGCATCAAACAGCGACCCGTCTCCCGGCCGTGACGCTCGCCGGGCGAAACAAAGGGTGCAACCGGTGGCAGCGAAGGTTGGGGCGAGGGGGTGAGGAATCCCGGCTTGGAAACATTGTTCTGGTAACAAAGGCACAGTGTTTGCTCCGGCACGGGCTGGGATTTCAATCCACCAACACGAAATTCTCGGCTGCCACCACCGTGCCACCAACGGCCGGCCCCGCCACGGAGCCCCTGCTCAAACCTCGGGGGCAAAAAAAAAAAAATCAAAAAATCAACCACCTCTCACCACGTGTGGGTCCCCTGAGCCAAGTCATCGCTGTGCCACTGCCTCCTCCAGAGGAGGGGGGGAAAAAAAAAAAAAAAAAAAAGCACAAATCCATGCCCAACAGGCAGCCATGCTATGATTTATTTACGGCGGTGAAAAGAAACCTTATACTAGTGCTCGGGGCTGTCAGAAAAGCTGGTGTGAGGTACCAGCCCTTTGGAAAACAGAAGAATGAACCCAGTAAAGCGATTTCTGCTCCCCACATGCTCCCTCTGCTCTCATTCTTGCATTTATTTTACTGATGGAGTAATATATGGATTTATTTCCCTGGCTGTATGGCCTTTAGCTGCTTCTGGAGGCAGCCAGGTGCCTCCAGGACCTCCTGGTAAAAGAAAAGCAGGCTTCTTTGGTGGTGGTTGTTTTATTACAGAGCCTTCAGTCCCTCAAAAGAGCAATCGGGGAGAAAAAAAAAAAAAAAAAAAAAAAAAAACCAAACCCAAACCCAACCAACCAGACACACAGCAATTAACTGCTCACTGAAATACAGCGGGGCTTCCCAGGGAGCCGCTCTCAAAGGGAGGTCTGGTATCGGCAGCTCCTTCCCGCAGGACTTTCGGCAAAGGCAGCACCTGGAATTTATCTGCAACCGAGCGAGGGGACTCTGCTCTGAATGTACAGACGACAGGGTTTGGCTGGCAGCTTTTTCTTTTTCTTCCTCTTTTTTTTTTTTACCAGGGAGGAAGCAACACAGCACTGCCATCGACGTGACGGGGCCGAAGCGTAGCCCCGGCAGCGCTTTTGCAGGCTGTTGCTGATCCAAACACCCCTGCAGCTCTGCGGGGGTCGATGTCGGCTCGCTCCCCGGGCTGGCACTGGGCTTTGCTCCCTTCTTCTTGGCCTTGGGGGTGCCATGCTTTCTCCTGCTACCCAGCAGCAGCGGGATCCCGATGGAGGGCAGGGTCGTCAGGCCAACCCAGCCCAGCTGGAAGGAGAAGTTGTTAGAAAGAATTCAAAACAAATCAGGCGCAGCTGAGTTACAGCCGTCAGATCTTCCACCTGCAAAGCGTCTGGCCCAAATCCCACAGAGGTGGCTGGGATGGCAGCTGCTATTTCTGGGATATTGTCTTCCGGACGACAGACATGAGTTAACTACGATCCACCCTGGAGCTTTTCAGGCGACAGTAGTGCAAACCCAACACACTGTGCTGCAGTGTAACTGTAATTACTGCAGTGTAATTTCAATTATGAATTGAAAGGCACTTGCAAAGCGAGGTGAGCACCTCCTGTCAAACTCGCAATGAGCTGGGACTCCTCCCTGCCCAGGAGCACTCATGGGACCAACCCAAAAAAGAGAAGAGAGAGAGGAGGAGGAGGAGGAGGAGAGTATTGCCACCTTCCCTCCTTGCAACAGAGCACGTGCAGTGTAAGAGTGCAGGGACACGCACCATCCCCTAATAGGCTCAAAGAGCACATTCAGGTGTATCTGTTGTCCAAGGTGGGCTACAATTGCATAAAAAGTCAGATGAAATCACTCACCATTGCCTGTCGCCCTCCTGTGCCGGGTACGTGGCGGTGGCAGAGGTGAAGTTGAAGTAAGCAGCTTCGAGAGGCCGCAGAACCACAGCGTGGGACCTTTCGCTCGCTCTCAGGTCTGAAACTTAAGGAAAACAATTGCATTTCATCAAAGGAAAGCGAGGAGATGGGTAAAGAGGAGAATTGAACCAGGAGGCGAAGTGAGTCCTGCCGACAGAGCCGAGTCCCCTGCAGTTACGGACGCTCAGCCCCATCCGAGGGGGTCCAGCGGCTCCTCTGATGCTGGAACCTCGGCGGCAGAGCTGCAGGACACCCGGGGAGAAATTTCAAAATATGAGAGCGTGCCGAGGGATCTGGAGCCACTTGATGCTGAACATCACAGAGAGGACACCAAAATCCTCCGGTGGGGAAAGAGTCACCCGACAGCTCCGTGCCGAACGCAGCGCTAAGCACGACAAAGAAAGGGGTAGGAGGAAAGGCTCAGATTTGGTGTTTTATTCACCGGGGGACTGTGTCACAGTGGGATGGCAGCTCCATACCGACCATTAACAGCTGGAGGAACTGACTTTTGAAAGGTAAAAAGGCACCGAGGTGGGGAGGAGAGCCAGGGTGCATTACAAGGAGACTGCAGGAAGAGGAAGGCAAAGCCGAGAGAAGCTGCCAAAAAAAGACGGGAAACTGGATGTCAGAAAAGCTCAGAAAGCTAAGAAAGAGCGTCTGTGTGCCCGGGGAGGGGAACATCACAAGATGAACCACGAGGAACTGCGCTGTGCTGGACAGACAGCTTCCATCAGGCGAAAGCGGGAAGCAGCGAAAGCAGGGACAATGAAACGGGAGGGAAAAGGCAAATCGCGGGGTCGGACCTTCGGGCGGGGGGGGGGGGTTAAAGCTCAGCCGTAGCAGGAGCAGGGAACAGCACACCATGGAGCCCAGGGGCACTGCAGAGGCACCTGCACCCGGGGAGGTTTGCTCCTGGGGAGTATGGGACGAGGCTCACCCGGAGCCGGCGGTGTAGACGCTGCGCTGCAGGGGCCAGTTCTCACAGCTCAGCCGTTTAACAACGATTTGGAGGCCAGGAGCCTGGCCCTTCCCCACAGCGGGCCGTGCAGAACAGGGCGCACGCGGCGAGACTCGGGAGCCTCATCTAGAAGCAAAAAGAAAGCGGAGTGTTTTATTGCAAAGGGGACGGTGCAGACGGGACAACTAAATGAGATGATTTACTACCAACTCCCGCCGGCGGCCCTTCTGTCCCCAGCAGACGTCCCTTCAGGCCACGTGTCCCCATTTCACAGCATCCCGGGATGAGGAGACCCCCCCCCCCGCTGTCGTTCTATACGTTATCTATACACAGTGAGGCACCAGAGCCCCCGCTCTCTAGGCAGGGGGACCCTTCCTTCCCCCCAGCGTTCCCACCCCAGGCTGCTCCCACGCAGCCTCGAGGGCTCCTGCAAACCACAGACCCCCCAGCTCTCCACCTCCACAGACCTTCCAGCCCTTCGGTTTAGAGCGAAGACTTGCAGAAGTGTCTGCAAAGGCCACTTTTATTTAAAAAATACAGTACTTCGTCATGGCCTGCGAGGGGCTCTGCTGCCCTCCAGAGAGCCCTGGGACCTTTGTTGGGCTTTGCTGTGGCTTTGCAAAGGGTTGGGGTCAGGTTTGGGGTGAGAGCGGGGGTTTTTGAGTGAGAAAGTGAAGAGCCCCAATGTTTAGGGGCTGGCAAGGAAAGGTGGCTGCTGCAAAAAGCTTTCAATCCTGGCCATGTTTGTGTGGGAGCCAGAGCTGGGGGTCCGTGTTGGTCCTGCCTCTGTTTTGGACTTGAGTTAAAAGTTCTAGAGGAGCTCAAAGACCAAATGAAGGGTCCCAGACAGAATAAAAGGCCCACAGAGTCCTCTGGGGCACAAGGAAAGCCAGAGGGTAATTTGTGAGGGAACTTAAAGGGTCTTAAGGCCCTTACAGAGACAAAAGAAAGCTTGGGGAGGAAATGAGGAAGGTGAGATGGGATCCTGAGCAGAAAACGTCAAGTTCTCATAGGTTGAGAGACCGAACAGAGGCATCCTAATTAGCACAGAGGACAAAAAGAGTGCTCTGGGATGCAAAGAAAGCCTGAGGAGGGAGGTGCCCAGCACCATCCAGTACCAACCCAACCCCCCCAGGACCCTTCTAGTGCCCCCAGGACATTCCCAGATCCCCGCAACCCTCCCAGAGTCCCTAATATATCACAAAGCCACGCAGGACTCTCCAACGTTCTCCAGCACCCTCATCAGAGCCCCCAACCCCTCCCAGAGCCCCTCACTATCCTCCAAGACCTCCCAGAGCCTCCCAGTACACATCAAAGCCCCCTCTAAATATCCCCAATACGCTTCCAGACGCCCCCCCAGCGACCCACAACCCCCCAAGCCTCCAGAACACCCCAGAGCTCCCAAGGTCGTCCCAGCACCTCCCAGTAACCCCGCTGAGCACCCAAGTACACCCTAAAGCTCTTCAGGACCCCCAAGAGCCACTCAAGCCCCTCCCAGTGCCACCTGTACACCCCCAGTACCAGTGAGAACCCTTCCCACACCCCCAATACCCACCCAGAGCCCCCCAGTTTGTACGTTGTGTTAAGTCAAAATATGTTTGTTTTTTTTTTTTTACATCGTTGCATGAGGGTCTTGGCCCACCAGCTGGTTGATGTTTTTGCTGAGCTGGAGCTGGAGGTGCTCACTGGCCTACGGAGATCCCCTTGCTTGGAAAGGTGTTTTTCCGTCGATAGGGTTTGAAGAGCGAGCAACGCTTTGGCAAAAGGGTTAAAAAAACCAACCAACCAAACAACAACAACAAAAACAAAACAAAAACAAACCAAAAAACCCAAACCAACAATAACCGATTTGGTTAGCTGCAAAGGCCAAAAATATGTGATAATTGTGATGGGTGATGTGAGCATTCTCAAATGTCACCCGGCTGCTGGAGGCTCGTTCAATTCCCCCGGCTCCCCCGAGGTGGCAGTGGCACCCCAGGCCAGCGCAGCGCCCAGCTGCATCTAAAAGTGGTTCTCAGCAGAAGTTTTGCCACTGAAACCACCCGTTTTGTTCAAAGCCTGCAGCAAATACATACGTTTAAAGAAAAGGGGTTGATGGATTCGAGGTCTCGCCCGGAGGGTTTGACAGGAAAACCTGTTTTCTTCAGGGCTGGTTTTGCCGTCCCTGCTGGAAGGAGCGCGGTGCCCGTGCTGCCGGGCTGCGGTGGCAGCTGGAGCGCCCGTGGCAGCAGCTACCTCTCGGTGTCATCATCATCATCATGAGGATTTTACATCAGCATGAAGCCAAGGCTACCAGCAGCCTCCCCTCCCCACCCTCTCGGCAGCGGTGCAACCGTCCGTATCCTCCATCCCCGACTCCTAAACGCCGTTTTGGAGGAAAACACCAATTGCGGCGAGGTTGCGTGGAAGGGCCGTAGGTGGTGAGCAGTGCCAGGTGGGGAAGTACCAGCCGGAATTCCCTCTGCCACCCGCTCCTGCCTCCGGAGACCAAAGATGGATTTTTGGACAGCGAAACTGATCGTTTATTTTTTTCAAAGAATACCTCCAATTTCATCAACGTTGCACAGAGATAAAATCATACCCGTGTCATCGCAGGAGCGGTTAACGTTAAACTGGAAAGAGGAAAACACGATCTCTGTTATAACTGTAGGCGATCTCCGTTATAGCTGCAGGTACTGCAATTTTACTCTGAAAAAACCCAAATTTTCCCTCCAACAGAAGTCACTAGGTGCCTCTAAATCACACTCCAAAATCCTCCCACACAAGGGACTCCCTCCCAGCCTGCAGCACAGGTGGATCTAACAGAAGGACGTTGCCCATAGAGCCAGAAAAGGATTCTTGAAGTCAGTCGGTGCGTGCGAGCGTAGCGCCAGTGGTTGCCTGAAGCCTCGGGGCTCCTCTCTCAAGCGCAGGGTCCGTCTATATTAGCGGGTAAGAGGCGTAACTGGCGATCCCACAGTGGTTTGCGTTGTTTCTCGACATGAGGATATAGCCCTTGTCGCCAAAACTCACGCCCCAGCTTTTGGGACGGGGAACAAACAAACAGAGAAGAGAGAAAATAAATTCCTTTTTTCCGTAAGGGAAGCGGCGGCTTTATCAACATCGCAGCATTGATGTGTTTTCGTTGACTGCTTCATGGGATTTCTAATCCCCTATTAAGTTATGACAACACTCTTGAACATAAAGGGAACTCAAGGTTACATCTTAAATGCATTTCAAATTCCTTCGCGCTGCAAGGATGACATAAAGGTGCTTTGTCGTGGCCAAGCATGAATCCTTAGGGAATCGTTTAAGGACCAACACCGACCTCCAACTCTAGAACAACCCCCGCTGCACAAGCACCCAGCAGACCTCCCTCTCATCTGTACAATGCCTGGGCGTTATAAAATTGTGAGGATGCCGGTTTGAGAGCAGGAGGTCACCTAGGAGAAGCCTGTCCCCATCAAGAGTGAGCAAGAGCTCGGTGGCACGCGGCTGGGCCTTTACCTGTTTTTTCACGAGCCAATAATCCTTATCATTTAGGGTGCCATAGCCAACCACGAGCACTGCGTGATTCACCTCCTGGGTGCACCGGGGGTCATCGTACACACCTGGAAAAAAAGGAGTTTGGAAGCATGTCATCAGCCCACACGACCTCGTCATCTTCGAGTCAAAGTCAACCTCCAGCATAGTCACTTCCTCCAGGAATTAAGCCCCAACTTGACCAGTTCTGACAAATTTCAGAAGCTTTACATGCAGAAAGACACAGAAGACTGTGAAGAAGATCTCCGGGGTAAAAGGACATACCTGACCTGTACAAGAAGAAGGTGGGCTGGGTGGCATCAATGGCAACAGAGACCGGTCCGATGTTGGCTACAGCATCTTTCATGGCTTCTTCGTTGGCATACGGGAGCTCAACGTACTTGGAGCAAGTGGCGGCTCGCGTGGAAGCGTTGTACTGACACGTCCCATTCTGGTAGGAACAAGGGGGAGTCGAGGAGAGGAGCGTGAGGAACCCACCGGGAACATCTCCAGACTCTCAGGTGGGGGTTTGCTATCAGCCCTTTTTTTACCCTGCGCTACCCCATTCTTCACTTTTCTTTGAGCACCGTTTCTCTGTACCAGCTTACAGATAAGATGGCTGGGAGGACCCGAGGAGACCATCTTGTCCATCTCACTTCCCCACAACAAGAGCAGCCAAACCACCGCAACAGAATTCTCTGCCTTTTTTCTAGAAACCTCTGACGACAATACTTCTACCACTTCCCTAAAGAAACTGTCCTTGCTTCCTCATCCTTCCCATCAGGAGGCTCCTCCTCATGTTTGGCATAAAATTTTTCTATTGTAAATTAAGCCCATGGCTTCTCGGTCTCCCTTCGGACACAGAGAGCAGCCTGTTTGGTCTCTGTAGCTGCCTTACACACGTTTGAAGACTTGTATTCCACTTTTCTTTCTTGGACTGAGCTGCTGTTACTTTGACCTGTTTCCATGGGCCATGTTTTCAGGGCACCAGGTCATTTCAGGGCATCTCTTCTCTCTGGCCACCGAGACTGCCAGCACTGGGATCTTTATTTTCTTATGGCTCTTTCCTTATGACCTTGCAGCAGTCATCCAGCGTTTGTTAGAGGCAACCTTTAAAAAAACAATTGTATGAACCTTGTTCACCAGAAACCTCTGCCCACTGGAATGGTAGAAATACCAATATTCCATTTTTCAACTACATTGGATGGGATAATACAGAGAGCTGAGAACAGGACCCAGGACTCCTGTCCCATTTTTCCCTTCCGTGTAGTACATTGCCTCATAATTTATGTAGGACAGAAAGAAACATGTAGAAATTCTGGCTCCCAGTCCAGTCATTCACCTAAGAGAAAAAAACAAAAGTCTAAAGGTCCCTTTCCCTGGGTTTGACTGCAAAGGCTGAGGAGATGACAGGAGGCTGGTAGAAAACGAGACAGAGAGAAATGAGCGGGCAGGGAGGAGAAAGGCGTCTGCGCAGGAGAGCAGGAGGAACGGCCGTGCTGCCTCCGCGCTCGTGTTTTTCTGCAGCTGCACGTGCTGCCCGGCTCTGCTGCCTACCTGAGCCGTGTAGGGGTAGGAATCATCCGAGTCGATCCCTTCGTTGTCGATGATGTACTGGAAAGCACTGGTCATGAACCCTCCACTGCAGCCTTTGTTCCCGTACATCATGGAGCAGTCGACGAGGTTCTGGGTGCTCAGGGACACCAACTTCCCCGTCTTCAGCTTCACCTGGGCCTCGAGGGCTCCCACGGCGCTGAACGCCCAGCACGACCCACAAGCACCCTGCAAAAGCCCCGGAGCTGCTCAGACCCAGCGCGGGACCGAGGCACGGAGAGGCCCAGGGAGAGCTCCAAACCTGGTTCTTCACGTCGGTGACGCAGCCCCTCTCCCTCCAGTCCATCGTGTCCGGGACGTCGCTGCCAGGCGGCGGTCGGGACGCGGAGCTCCGCTTTGGCCGAGGGACAACGTTCAGCCCAGTCAGCAAAGCCGCCACTTCTTCGCTGCTCTGGTGGGAAAAGCAAAGCCCTGCTCGGGGTGGCCCGGTCTCTGGTGAGTCCGACACCGGGTGTACTGGAAGTGGAAGGGGATTTCCCTGGGACAGCAGGAGGAAGGCCTGTGGAGGTCTCGGCTTTTTAATTGTCACGGTCACTTTCCAGCCGTTCATCGGGAAGGGCGAGGAAAAGAAAACACAAAGCAGAACTCCAGCCCCCCCAAATCCCTAGAAGCTGACACAGCTGATCGAGCGACTCTGCAACCTTGGGGCCCGGGAGAGGGAGGGTTTGCAAATCTGTATAATGCCCGGGACCAGCTCTGCGCACCCCAAAGGCCGCGCTAAGGAGTTATTTCCTCGCGCCAGATTGCCTCACGCCCACGGGTTGAGCACAGGAGCGTCTGAGCGCTTCGTCCCCGGCTGCTGGAGTCCGGCAGGAGAGGACGGGCTGAGAAGGGCGGTTGGGAGCTTTCCCAGCCCTGACCCACTCCCTGTGCCTCGGCACGTTAACCTGGCAGGGAATTAGCGACGAAGGGACCCCCCTGCTCGGCGGCGTGGCCGGCACCCACCATGTCTCCCAGGTGGTTCATGCCCAGCTCGTAGGAGTGCAGCCCCAGCGAGTGCTCCAGGTTGTGCAGCGTCACCAGTCGCAGGTTCCTCTCCCACGTCGCGCGCCGGGCCCCTTCCTCCTGCTGAAATCGAACGCGGGCTCGTGGGGCGGAACAGCAGCCCCCGCGGCCGTCCCACCCCCCTCTGCCCCCGCAAAGCTTGCGGGGAGCCCCCCGACAACCCCTCCCTGGGGACCAGCAGCGCTCCGGGGCGCTGCCGGACCTTCTCCCCCGAGCAGCACCCACCACCTCCCGCCGCCCCCCCCCCGGGACCCCCCCACCTCGTGGCGGTACTCCTTGCCGTAGGTTTTCTTCCAGAGCTGCCAGTGCCAGTCCAGCGCGGGGTCGGGGGGTCCCAGGGCCCCCGCCAGCGTGGCCAGCAAGGCGATGGAAGCCAGCAGCTTCATCCCGCTCAGCTGGGGCCGGCGAGTCGGAGCGACGCGGCGCGCGCTGGGAGCAGAGGGCTCAGAGCCGGAGCCGTGCTTGACCCCTTAGTGACAAATCCGGTTTGGTAAGGGAGGCACAACGGTGATGACATCCCTGACCTGGACTCCCTGGCATGCCCTCCGCTGGGTTTCTACACCGGGTGATGCCAACAGCTCCTGTCCTGCCCGCCCAGACGAGCACCCCGCAAAGCGGCACGGCCTCGCCCGCTGCGCACCCCCGACCCCGACGCGAAATCCCACCCGGGGACTCAGAGACCTGCCCTCGGCGGGGGGAAGTCTGCTGGCGCCCACCCGCCGGCCGTGCGGACACCGACGCGCAGGGACACATCCAGACAGGCGCCGCGTCTCAGCTCCACCCTGCCCGAGAAACCCTCCCCGAAGGAGGTTTCACACATCGCCCGGTCAAGCGGCTGTTTTGAAAAACCTGTGTTTCCCAGCACCTTAAAAAACAAAAACAAAACCAAACCAAACACCACCCCCCGCCCCAAAATCCCATTTTTATCCAACCAATGTCCACCAGTTCCTTAGGATGGGCTGCTACGTGCAATTCAACTACCCAGAGAGGGCTTGGAGGAGATTAGAGATAAGATGGAGTCAGAGTCTGCATAAAAGTATTGTTCCTTCAGTTTTACTTCCTCAAAGCCCAGTCCTCGCAGAGGCGTGTTAAAACACCCAAGTACCCAACGTACCTGAAAAGGCCCCTTCGGGTGGTGGGTACCGGCGGGGGGGGGCGGTGCTGGGGACAAATCCAGCGCGTCCCCGGCGTCGGGACACCCAGGACCCCTGGCACACGGCAGCTGCAGCTCGACCGACTAATCACGAGTCAGGAAATGAGGAAATACTCTGATTTCATTTTCACTTATCTGGGAACTGGGCTTGCCGTGCTGGTCACGGGGTTATTGGAAGCAGGACCCTCAATAACCTCAGACTATGATTGCAGGTGAGAAAACGCCCTTTTTCTAGCAGCCCAATAAATTAATGGCAAGGCTCTCACGGTGGTTTTATGGGGGTTACGGGCCCAGCGGGCGCGAGCAGGGGTCACGCTCCTCTGACAGGGTTCTTGCATTGTTGTGACTTGGTGCTGAGCTGAGACAGGAGGAGGTCAAGCACAGAGCCTTGCTACTGGTTTGAACTGGGTATACCTGAGCTCCCATCCCACCACTACAGCGCCAACCAGACCAAACCCAGCTCTTAGAAAGAAAGGAAAAAAAAAAAAAAATCACATTTATTCCCTTTTTGGTGGGGAGGCACAGATCGGAAGACGAGGTTTAAATATGGGCAGGGGGTGGAGCTGAGCTGGCCAAGCACGGACAGCAGGAGGCATGTGGAGCACCCAGCCCATTGCCGACAGCCAAGCCTCCAGCTGCCTGGAAATCACCCGCCAGCCTCTTCTCGGGGCATCCTCTGGGTCCCCACGAAGGACAGCCAGGCAGGAGGGTGCGTTTCTCGCCCCGGCAAAGCCCCGCGGGACAGAAAATGGCTGCAAGAAACCGTCTGCTGAGAGAAGAGGAGGAAGCAAAGCGGCGTCCCAAGAGCTTTGAAAACGCGGCTGAGTCATTTTCTAAAAAGCTGCCGGAGATTGCAAGAGTCAGCAATGACAACAGAGCGCCTTCCACCTAAATAACTGAAATAATTCCCAACAGATGATCCCTTATTAGTGGAGAAGTGCCGGGGGGAGGGTGAACGAGATGGTCACACTGGATGAGACGCTCCTCATTTCTGCTGCTTCCCTCTCAAACTGCAAACGGGCTGCTCGAGGAGGGGAGGTCGGAGCCGAGCCAGGCACGCTGGGGATCAGCAGGGTGCGCGGTGGCATCTCCAGAGCCTGTCCCAAAGCAGGGAACCCCTCTAGATCCGGGGGGAGGCTCCGTGGCTGGCAATCCCGCAGCGGTTTCCACGGTTCCTCGCCATCCGGATGTAGCCCCGGTCACCAAAATGCACACCCCAGCTTTTGGAAGGAGAAAGAAGCAAAAATTAGACAACAGGGGGTAGCTGCCTCCTTCTGCACCACCCCTCACTCCCGCTTGTTGCTCTCCCCACCCCTTTTTAATTTTTTTTTTTTTTTTTCCAACGCATGCTTCCTCCGCAGCAGCCGCAGGAATAGTCAAATGTGCATCTTCTGGCCAAAAAGGCTGAGCCTCCTGACTGCTTCCCTGCCAGATTTTGCTGCCACTAACTCCGGGGGGCAGAGGAAAATCGCTTATTTTCTGTGTGCTGGAGTGAGTCAGAACCACCAGGGAAACAGCAGATAAAGGTGAACGAATCGGTTTTGAATATTAAAAACACTTTTTTTTCTTTTTTTAAGATCCTACCAAGGCCAGAGATGAGAGACAGAGGAGGAAACCGGCGGGTTTTAGCCCAGCTCTGATCTCTGATACGAGGATAAAGGAGCTTTGTTGACAGAACTGCCCACAGTTGAGTTTTTTTTGTTGTTGTTTTTAAAAAAGATAATGGTTCTCAGTTGCTGAACGCAGCTTCGCTGACACTGCAGGGATTTTTTTCCAGAGCCGTGTCTGAGCACGACCGTTCCGTTTCAACACCACGTTTCTTCTTGTTCTGCGTCTGAGGCAGTGAAAAGCATGTTCACAAATGCGTTTCAGTGCAAGGGGAAGCCCGGCTGCAAGGACCCTTGAGGCTGTGCCTCCAAACTGGCCGAAGGAGGGGGTTCGCCAGCGCGTCCCCAGGTCAAACCAGCTCGGTTTCTCTCTCCAAGAAGCACCAGCCCTTTGCGCTGACTCAGCACCCAGGAAGGCTGGAAACCTCGGAGTTTCCCGCGGAGCAGAAATCCCGTGTTCTGAGCCAGCACCGAGGAGCCAGGCAGGAGCGTTTCGGGTGACGTACGGCGGTTGGGGTTTGCAGGGCTTAGTCGAGGGCCCGTTGCACCACGGCTGCGGTGGAGCCGGGCCAAGAACGTAACTCCAGAAAGCTGACGGGCTCTGCAAAAGCGCATCGCTGGCGTCTCTTTGTGCCCCTCGGAAAGGGAAAGCTGCTCAGCCTCTGGGTTTGCTGTACCTGTTTTTCACGAGCCAGAAGTCCTGCCCGTCGGAAGAGCCGTAGCCGATGACGAGCACGGCGTGATTTGCCACCTGAGAGCAGCTCGGGTCATAGGAGATACCTGGAAGGCATTTGGAAAGAGCCTTTGGACAACCCGCCCTAAGCCACCGCCCAAACGGGAACTAAATTCGCTCTTTGGGAGGTGTCACCGGCGCCCGCTGCCGGGAATAAGGGCAGCACAAGCCAAATACGAGTCAAAGCCGAAACAATTCCTGTTTAAGGAAGCCGGGTGGCGGGAAGGCAAGCACGGGCCTCTCTCGTGACCCCCTGCAAGCCCCACCGGCTTTGTACAAGAAGGAGGTGGGCTGGCGGGCGTCGACGCTGGCAGAGACGGGCCCCACGTCGGCGCCGGCGCCCTGCAGCGCGGCCTCATCGCCGTGCGGCAGCTCAACGCAGCCGGAACACGTGGCCGCCCGCGCCGCCGGGCTGCAGCGGCACGAGCCATCCCGGCCAGCGAGGGGAAGGGGGGGGAAGGAAACCTGTCAGGGCGCCCTGCTCGGCGCAGAACCGACGCTCGCGGCGCCGAAGACGGGCAACCGCGTGGCTTGCCAAAGCGGATTTCCTCCGGGAGCGACAGCACGATTAACGCCGCCGATTTGAGCGGAGCCAGCCTAAGCACTGCCCGGCTCTGCTGCCTACCTGAGCCGTGTAGGGGTAGGAATCATCCGAGTCGATCCCTTCGTTGTCGATGATGTACTGGAAAGCTTTGGTCCTCCATCCGCCACCGCAGCCTTTGTTCCCGTAGCTCCTGGAGCAGTCGACGAGGTTCTGGGTGCTCAGGGACACCAACTTCCCCGTCTTCAGCTTCACCTGGGCCTCGAGGGCTCCCACGGCGCTGAACGCCCAGCACGACCCACAAGCACCCTGCAAAAGCCCCGGAGCTGCTCAGACCCAGCGCGGGACCGAGGCACGGAGAGGCCCAGGGAGAGCTCCAAACCTGGTTCTTCACGTCGGTGACGCAGCCCCTCTCCCTCCAGTCCATCGTGTCCGGGACGTCGCTGCCAGGCGGCGGTCGGGACGCGGAGCTCCGCTTTGGCCGAGGGACAACGTTCAGCCCAGTCAGCAAAGCCGCCACTTCTTCGCTGCTCTGGTGGGAAAAGCAAAGCCCTGCTCGGGGTGGCCCGGTCTCTGGTGAGTCCGACACCGGGTGTACTGGAAGTGGAAGGGGATTTCCCTGGGACAGCAGGAGGAAGGCCTGTGGAGGTCTCGGCTTCTTAATTGCCACGGTCACTTTCCAGCCGTTCATCGGGAAGGGCGAGGAAAAGAAAACACAAAGCAGAACTCCAGCCCCCCCAAATCCCTAGAAGCTGACACAGCTGATCGAGCGACTCTGCAACCTTGGGGCCCGGGAGAGGGAGGGTTTGCAAATCTGTATAATGCCCGGGACCAGCTCTGCGCACCCCAAAGGCCGCGCTAAGGAGTTATTTCCTCGCGCCAGATTGCCTCACGCCAGCGGGTTGAGCACAGGAGCGTCTGAGCGCTTCGTCCCCGGCTGCTGGAGTCCGGCAGGAGAGGACGGGCTGAGAAGGGCGGTTGGGAGCTTTCCCAGCCCTGACCCACTCCCTGTGCCTCGGCACGTTAACCTGGCAGGGAATTAGCGACGAAGGGACCCCCCTGCTCGGCGGCGTGGCCGGCACCCACCATGTCTCCCAGGTGGTTCATGCCCAGCTCGTAGGAGTGCAGCCCCAGCGAGTGCTCCAGGTTGTGCAGCGTCACCAGTCGCAGGTTCCTCTCCCACGTCGCGCGCCGGGCCCCTTCCTCCTGCTGAAATCGAACGCGGGCTCGTGGGGCGGAACAGCAGCCCCCGCGGCCGTCCCACCCCCCTCTGCCCCCGCAAAGCTTGCGGGGAGCCCCCCGACAACCCCTCCCTGGGGACCAGCAGCGCTCCGGGGCGCTGTCGGACCTTCTCCCCCGAGCAGCACCCACCACCTCCCGCCGCCCCCCCCCGGGACCCCCCCACCTCGTGGCGGTACTCCTTGCCGTAGGTTTTCTTCCAGAGCTGCCAGTGCCAGTCCAGCGCGGGGTCGGGGGGTCCCAGGGCCCCCGCCAGCGTGGCCAGCAAGGCGATGGAAGCCAGCAGCTTCATCCCGCTCAGCTGGGGCTGGGGAGGCAGTGCCGGACCCCAACCTGGGCGTTTTGCTTCCCCACCATTCCCAAACCCCCCCCCCCCCAATCCCCTTTGAGCCTTTTTCCTTGGCCGGGAGCTCTCTCTGGCCGCACAACGATGCTCCACGGCCCCAGCGCAACCTTCACACGGGGCCGGACCCTTCCCGCACACACACACCTGCAGTGCCACCCCCCCCCAAAAAAAAACCCTCTTTGACGGAAACTTCACCCATCTCCACGTATTTCCTCCCAACTTTCCGTCTCCATCGCTGCGGCTGCTCTTGAGGAAAAGCAGCAGTCGAGGGGGACACACCGAGGGGGACACAGCAAGGGGGCAGAGATGGACTCTGTCCCCAAAGCGAGCGCAAAGGGACCGTTTCTCCACGTTCTCCAGCCAAAACTCACCCCAGGGAGATGTCTCACCTGCCCGCCCGGCCACGGTGCAGCTTCCCACGGAGGCCCGGGACGGCGCGGGGGCGCGAGGAGTTCCCTCCGCTCGCCGCAGCCGGGAGCCGGCGAATGAGGAAATTCTCCGATTTCACTTTCTTTTCACCGGGTTGTTTTTGAACAACCTCAGTGGTGCATCCTGGCAGGCCCTGATGAATTATCCAGCGGCCCTCATCCCCTCCCTCGCCCCGCCAGGCCGTTTGCCACCCACGTCTCAGTGCGTGGGTGTGAGTGGGAAAAAGAAACTTCTTTTTAAGCATCTAAACTTTTCTCGCATTAATTTTTAAAGCAGATATCACCTTCCCTTCCTGTTAGTGCTCGCCCTGAGCTTTGCTGCAGTTAGTTTTCAATTTGTTTCATTAAAAGGGACACTTGGATTGGGGGTTTTGGGGAGACACGGGGTTTTGGCTGCAAAACACCCCCAACCCCAGCACCACCCTTCGCCCCAGAGCTGTAGCAGCCCGCACCAGCTGCTCATTTGTTGCTCCGCTTTCTTCCTCTTTAAACCCCCCGTATTTCTTCAGCCTGTTTCAGGGGTCCTGCAAAACCAGCTGGGATTTTGCAAAAAGACCCCAGCAGCATCTTTCCTCCCCGCTTCGCTCCGGCATCGCCTGTTTTGCCGTTGGCTCCTGCCCCCTCGGCAAAGGGAAGGACTTTCCCCCCGCGGGGCCAGCGCAGCACAGAGCGAACCAGCCCGAGCGTTTATTCCCAACGGGGTTTATTTTAAAAATGAAGTCGTATCATCCTCTGCAGCCCCCACTGGGACGCAGGGTGGGGGGAGACAGACCCGCGCTCCCCATGGGGACGTTCCACCTGTGCGGGATGTCCCGGTGCATCCGCGCTCCCGGGGGCAGAGGCTGGTGCGGGACGGGTTTGCACAAGCAACTCCGGACAGAACAGACCCCGCGGAGCCGCGGGAGGGCAGAACCCGGCACACGCGGTGCCGGCACGGCAAAGGAATCCCGGGAAAACGGTTGGGGGGGAGCTCATCGCTCATCGCACCGTTCATCTGCAGCCGGAGGGTCTCTCTCCCCGCCTCCCGGGGGAGATTTCTCACGGGCAACGTCAGCTTCGGAGATTGGGAGCGGAAAGCTTGAAGGGAGGGAAGCAGGGAGAGCGGCCGGGCGCGGCGCGGGAGCGTGCCAGGAGCGCTCACATCTTGGGGAAGCTGGCGAGGTTGGCGATGCCGCAGGCGTTGTTCATGTTGCGCGCCAGGAGGACGTAGCCCTTGTTGCCCCACTCCTCGCCCCAGCTGCGGGGGAGAAAAGGCCAAGCCTGAGCCACCGGCAGAGCCGCCGGCGAACGCCGACCCGGCGGAGAGCGGCCGCGCCGGCCCGCCGTACCTGTTCTTGATGATCCAGTGCTTGGTGCCCTTCTGCGTGCCGTAGCCCACCGCCAGCACCGCGTGGTTGATGTTTTCGGCGTTGCAGCTCTCGTCGTAGTACACGCCTGGGGGACGGGACGGAGGGTTACGCCTTGGATAAACCACCCGGCCGTGCCTCAGTTTCCCCGAGCTGCCCCGGGGCCAGCGGGGGTTCCCCCAGCCCCTCACCCCGGCTGTAGAACTGGAAGGAGGGCAGGCTGGCGTCAATGCCCACGGAGACGGGGCCGATCCTGGCCACGGCCCTCTTCAAAGCCTTCTCGTTCCCTTCGGGGATTTCCCGGTAGCCGCGGCACTTGGCCGCCTTCCCGGTGGGGCTGTACATGCAGCTCTCATCCTGCGCGGGACCGGCAAGGTCAAGGTGAGACGGGGACGGGAGAGCAAACGGAGGCCTCACCCCCCTGCCCAGCCCCGGACCTGGCCGATGTAGGGGTAGGCATCCTCGGAGTCGATGCCGCGGTTCTGCCGGACGTACTCGAAGGCGTTGGTCATGTAGCCGCCGCCGCAGCCGTCGTTGTTGGCCACGCAATCCACCAGGTTTTGGGGGCTGAGGGCGAGCAGCTTCCCCGTCTTCCGCTTCAGCTGCCCCTCCAGCGCGCCCACCGAGCTGAAAGCCCAGCACGAGCCACACTGGCCCTGTGGGGACAAGGAGGGGTGACGGCGGGGTGCCACCCCGCGCCGGGCGCCCCCCGGGAGCACCCCGCTTACCTGGTTCTTGACGGGGGTCACGTAGCCTTTCCTCCTCCAGTCCACGGCAGCCGGGGCTCGCTCAGACCAGTCGGGGACGTAGAGCGTCTCGTTGCGACGCGGGCGGCCACGGGGCACCTTCAAGCCCGTCATCATCCTCACCACCTCCTCGCTGGTCTGGGGAAGGAGCGCGGGGTGGACGGGTGCAGCCCTGGGGCTGCTGGGCAGAGCACCCAAGGGTGCTGAGTCTCTCTGGCACCCCGCTCGTGTCCCTCCCCGGTGACACTCACCATGTCACCCAGGTGGTTCATGGCCAGCTCGAAGGTGTGGACGCCCAGCGCGTGCTCCAGGTTGTGGGTGTTGATGTACTTGAGGTTCTTCTCCCAAATCACCCTCCGCGCCACCTCGTCCGCCTGCACCACGGGGCGAGACGGCGCTGGGTGAAGGGGTCCTGCGTCCCGTCCCCCCCCCCCCCCACCCCTTGCCCTGGGGACACCACCGGGCTGGTCCCCAGCTCCCCCCCAGGGGCCGGTCCCCTCCCGGGGGGCTCTGCCATACCTCCCCGTTGTACTGCTTGCGATGGGTTTTCTTCCACAGCTCCCACTGGGCGTCCAGCTCCCGCTCGGGGCGCAACTGGGCCACCGCCGCGGGGACCAGCAGGGCCAGCACCGTGGGCCACCACATCCTGGGGACCCGGGACAGGGACTGAGCCTGGGAGGGCTGGAGGGGGGCAGGACCCTGCGCCCACGACCGCCTCCGGCTATAGGGGCCAGGACCCCCCGTCCATCCCGTTCCCAGACCCCACGCACCCCGTTATTGAGCCACGAGGGGCTGGGGGAGACCGGAACCCCGTACCCACCCCATTTCCAGGCCACGGCAACCAGCAGCCCCTGCCCACCCCGGTTTCAGGCCAGGACCCCCCCCGTTCGCCCCATTTTGGGGCCGGGACCCCCCCGCCCGCAGCGCTGGCCGGGCGCAGGCATCACATGAGCTGGGACAGCTGGTTCCCATCACGGCCCCACCGGCGCCTTCCGGCAGCCGCCGGCCAGGGGGGAAACTGAGTTTTGGGGGCGCACAGAGCAAGGGGTGCAGGTGGGGGGGGGGAGCACCCACGCATCCTGCCCCCTCCCTCGCTTTACCCCTCGCCCCCAGCATCTGCTTCCTCACCAGACCCCTGGGGCAGAGCAGGAATGGGGCCGCCAGCCCCAGCCTGCAGCCCACAGCCCCGCTCGATGCTCCGTGCCTCAGTTTCCCCCTTCGCACCTCTAACACCAAGCTGATGCGCAGGGCCCTAGTTCCCCACCACCCCCACCCCCCCGCACACACATTCCCACTGGGGTCTATTTCCCCAGGGCTAAAAAACCACTCGACCGCCCCCCCCCGCAACACCTCACCGGGTGCCCCGTCCCCCCGCGGGACCCCCCCCGCCCCGCTTACCCCAGCATCGTGCTGTCGGCGGGAGGACGGCGCGGCTGGGGGGTGCGGAGGCCGCGGCCGCGGCTCTTTTATAGCGCTGGATTGAGGAAGTCGAGAGGCAGCTGGAAAATGTTGGCGGGCGCCCGGGTCTGCGGGGGGTTCGTAGGGGAGGGAAGGAGGCGGCGGGGAGGGGGGGGACGGGACACAGCAGCAGCCCCCCCCCCGCCTTCACGTGGTGCTGGGGGGCAGAGCTGAGTCAGCCCTGGCCCAGGGGCTCTGGGTGCTGCCCTGGGGACCCCCCTCCTGTCCCCGGGGACACCCTGGGGACCTCGTCCTGCCCCTGAGGACGCCCTTCCACCCCCCCGCTCCACCCTGGGGAACCCCCTCCTGCCCCCGCACCCCACACTGGGGACATCCCCCTACCCCAGGGACCCCCTCCTGCCCCCCACTCTGGGGCCACCTCCCTTGTCCCAGAGCCACCCTCCCACCCTACGGCAAAGGGGCTGTTTGTGTCCCAGGAGACACCCCCCACCCCAGCCCTCCCGGCAAGGGCTGAGCACCCCCTTCCCTCGGGAGAGGCACGACCTGGCAGGATTAGACCCTCCCCAGCAACTCAGGGTCGTGGTGTGACAGCTGGAGCTGAGGACAGGACCACCCCAGTGTCCCCAACCCCAGCCTGCTGTGCAGTGCAGGATTCGGCCACCCCCCGTGCCCAGTTTTGGGGGGCAGAGGTAGAGGTTGGGGGCCCCCTGGCCCGTCCCTGACCCCAGGCAGCAGCACCGTGGGGCAGCGGGGCCAGACGGTGCTTTCTGCGGTGACTGGCACCTCGTCACGAGTCAGAAAACCTTGTTCACTGCCCGGGAAGGTCCCAGGGGCATTAGTCCCCTGTCCCAAGCGCTGGGGACATCATCATCATCATCATCCAGCCGTGGGTAAGAGGACAGAGCGTCCCAGGGAGCAAGGGGCAGAGTTAAGGGGACAGCAGCAGCACCGAGGCACGGATCCAGGCTGGAGCCACCTCCAAAATAAGCCCACGTCACCCCACCCCGGTGGGGTCCCTGGGGTGAGGGACCTGCACCCCTGGGGCGAGCTCCCCCCCCCCGAGAAAGGGGGTGGCTGAGTCAGGCCGGGGCTCCGCCGCGGACTCATCGCCCACGGGGCCCTGACTCGGCCGCGCGTGACCCAGGGGCGAGGCCACCGGCCCGGGGCCCCGCTCCTTGGCTGGGGGGGGTCTGGAGGAGAGGCTGAACTGGGAGCGCTGGGCTGCTCCCCCTCGCCAAGTGCAGGGCTGGGTGAGAGCGTGAGGGAGGGGTAACGCACTCCAGCCCCCACGTGCAACTAATGAAGAGGGGGGAAGGAGGGAGGGTTCAGCCCCAGCATCGCTGCGAGGCCACGGCCGAGGATTCAGGGCCCCGGTGGTGTGAGCACAGCCGGGGTAGAGGGGAGGCAGAAACGAGACAGAGCTTTGAAAAAGGGAAAATATCTTGTTGTAAAATCTCTGCTACATATAATCATCTGTGATTCCTGCAACAAGAGGGAGCCCTGGGCCCGAAACAAGCCCGGAGGAGGAGGTTTGGCTCCTGCCCGCCCCAGGCGACTGTACGATAAAATAACCGCCCCCCCAGACAGTGAAAAATAACACAATTACCAGAAGGGGCTCTGGCCCACGTCCCGCTCCGCAAGGGCACCGCGCGCCAGCCTGGGGGGGTGGCAGATGCCTCACCAGTCCCCGTGCCAAAGCCCGGCCAACCCTGCCCCCGCGGCTCAGCTCCAGCTGGCTCTTCCTCCCCCCCCCAGCTTCAACTGTCCATGGCGGGACCCAAAATTTGGGGGGGGGGGGGGTGGTACAGGAGTGTCACCCCCAAGGTGACAGGGAGGGGGGACACACAGACCTGGACGTCGTCGCTTTTTGTCCATGCGGCCCCAGGTCCTGGCGCGTTCCCCAGGGACTTGGATCGCGGCAGAAATGGGGATCTGTCTCCTCCTCCTCGGGCAGCCGAGCGCGGTGCTGGTCCTTCCCCGCGCCCGAGGAGGGACCCCGGGGACCGCGGCCACCGCGCTGCTTTACACAATCCACCTCCTCGAAGCCGGAGAAAGTTCCAGAGCGCGGCAGCGGGGGCTGCTGCGGAGGAAGAGGGGCCCGGCCTGGTCATTGCTGGTAGCACTTTCCCCGGGTGGGACGGGGGTGGATCACAGGACCTTTCCAGACTCCCTAACCGGGAGGTTCCCACCTTTCCATAGATAAATTTGGAAGTGGCGTTCAAAGTGAGAAAAACAAAACCAGCTTCAAATCTTAACTTTCCAACAAAAGCAGGAGAGGAAAAAAAAAAAATTAAAATAAAAATAAAATGAAAGCTTTCTGCTCCGCTACCAAGAGGAACCGCGCGGGATCTCGGCGAGCGCTGAAAGCGGACAGCGGCACACCCGCCTGCGGGGTCACCCCCCAGGGACGGGATCTGCCCCGTGCAGCTCCAAAACCTCCCGAGGGTCTCCCCCCCCCCCCCCCCCCGCAGCACCCAGACCCCCGGCCCTGCCCCGCGGCAGCTGCTCGCGGCCAGCCCCGCCAAGGCGCAGCGCAGCGGGCAGGAGAAACACCCGGATTTCATCGGGAAGAAAAGCAGGCTGCCAGGAGAGCTTCGCGTTCCTCCCCCGCCGCAGTCGGGCCAAGTTTCCTCCCAAGTAAACCCAGCGAGGAGCGAGTGTTCCTGTCGAAACCGAAGCACGGCTTGCCGCCACGGGGGGAATCAAACTGCTCTTCCAGTCCCTACACACCCTGAGGAGAGCAAGATTCACCGCAAGTTTTTTTCCACTGAAGAAGCCAGAAGATTCAGTCAAGGTTTAAAAAAAAGAAGAAATTATATATATATATATATAGATAGATAGATATAAAAAAAATTAATTCTGTTCCCTATCTTCCTCTGCTCTCCTCCATTTTGTGATTTGGCAACAGGGTCATCATATGGCATGAATTTTTCTTTAAGGAGACGGTGAGTGTCAAAGCAACTACTGCCATTCCGAGCAGGTGGTGGAGCCGCAGCTCACAGCCCCTGCCCACAGCCAGGGCCCGTGCGGGGCCCCCGCGCGAAGGCGAGGGGCTCGATCCAGGTGTGGCACCAACGCACGGGCAGCACAGCGCGGATTTTTTGGTTTCCCCCCCCCCCCATCATAAGCTGACAAAAAGCCTGTTGAAGCACTGGTTCACGGCAGCACAGAAACCATCAGCCACAAAGCTGATGCCTCGAACAAAGCTACGTAGATAATATTGTTACGGCTTGTAATTATCCCGCCGCTCGGACGGCTGACTGGGCCCCGAGGCGGTTCCTCGGTCTCAGCGGCCAGAGGCCCGTGTTCACGGCACAGTTCACAGAAGAGATCGGCCTCCAAACACACGCCGGCGTGGGAACCTCTAAACAAAGCACCTCGGGCCAGGGACACGAACACAACCCTCCAGAGGCAGCCAGGCTCCCGCCACCGAGAAAGCCGCCTTACGACAAGGATTCTTACACGAGCGCCCTCCAGACCCGCCTCACACGGGGGGGGGGGAACGCTGGGAAGAGTTCCTTCCGATATTTGAAAAGTTACAATACTTTGTGTTTTATAGAAAAAGAGTCACGGTATAGAAGGCTGAAATACAAACAAGTCAAAGCCACCTTACGAGTTCGGAGGGGCCGTCTGCAACCCAGACGGGAATCCCTCCAAGCGACCCAGCGTGCCGGGCGAGAACCGCCGGCGAGCGGCTCCGGGAACACGGGGCCTCCGGTCGGTGAGCGCGGCTGCTGGCGCAGCACTCCAGTCCTGAAGCCTCCGGGCGAGGAGCCCCCCACCGAGGAGGTGCCCAAACCCACGACATCCTCCTGCCGGGCCACCGTCCCTCCTCCGGGCCGTCAGGCAGAGCTTCGCCTCCGGAAGGCGGGAAGGGTCCAGAAAGTTCAGCAGTCTTTGAAAAAAAAGACTTAGGTGTTTTCCTTTACACGTGGATATTATATAGAGCTATAATTTGCTTCCCCCCCCTTAGGGCTTATTTTATTCTGAAAAAGAAGGGAATATATTCAACTCTGGGAACTCTTCATTGTTGTAGTTGGGTCCTTGGTCTCCCAGCATTGTCAGCATGTCCTGCGAGGATACAAGGAGAGAGTTATTATCAGGACTAACACCTCACCCTGGTGATTTAGTCACGGAGGAGCTTGCCTGAGTGGGTACTGCACACCAAGACGGTCCCTCCCCTCCCAAGGGTTTGTTTCCGAGGCTGCAGGACAGCAGCAAATTTAAGCCATAAGCAGCAACTGCACCGATTCCTTAGAAAGCAGGGGGCAGCAAGTCGCAAGAAGAACGTGAAGTCTCGGGAGTTACCTTCACTTTGTGGGACTGGGCGAGGTGTTTGGCTTTTTTGTTACGGTTTTTAATTGGAGCTAGAAGGGTTAACCCAATGGTAGTTTTACAGACCAAGACACAAAGCCAGCCCAGCTGAGGCCCTGCTGCCCTGCCCTCTTCCAGTTGCAGTTCCATCAGGTTACTCACGAGGTGGAGACCTCGCCAGATATTATAACCTAGAGGGACGAGCTCTCGGCGCCTGCCGCCCACGCTCAGCAAGCAAAGCCCATCCCTTCCCACACGCTTGGCCCACCAGCCCTCGCTCGGGAGGTTGAAAAAGCACCGTCTTACTGAGAAGACCTCAGGCTGGCTTGGCTGCGGCTGCTGCACGTGTTGCTCCCCGGACGCCGGGCCGTGGTGCTGTCCTTGCCACTGTGGCCACATCCCCACGCCTTCGGTCGCCCGCGTCTGGAACGGGGCCGGGGTCTGCGCTGCCTCCGCGGCTGTTTAACAGAGAACAGGTCAGCAGAGGGCTCCTGCTGCGGGGCTCTGGTTTCTGGGGTGCTTGAACGGGACTGGAAGTGCCCAGCTCCCTGGGAGGTGCCTGGTCCTTAACGGGGCAGGATCGCCCCTCCAGGAAAAGCCACTGAACCCTCACGTGCGTTAAGGCATTTGTCAGTACCCAGCTATGGGGGTGGAACAAACGCCGGGGAGTCCCAGAGGGGTTTGCTTCCTCCCAGTCAGCCTTAAAATGGTTCAAAACACATCTGCTCTGGAGCCTCGTGCTGGGACGGTGGTTAAGGGTGATCTAGGCGGCGTTAGCCACAGCAGGGATTTAGCTGCGCTCTCCCCATCTGAGCGCTCCCAACACACACACAAAAGTGACAGAGATGGTATCACACCACGGCTGTACCTGCCCGAGGCTCCCAGCTTTCCTCCGAGGGGAGTTTTGCTGCCACCCAACCTCACCAGCACCCCAAGCCATACTCACTGAAGCCCGTGCCACGGCTGGCGAGGTTTGGGTAAGCAGCCCCCGTAGGAGAAGCCGTAGAGCCAGGTGCTGTCATGGGGCTGAAGGAGGACGGGGTGCCTTGGAAAGTCCCCATGCTGAAGGAAGAGGGCCGAGTCTTCACCGTCTGGGATGCCACTTGCTGCAAGAGAGTGAGAAACAGGAGAGGAAGAGGAGGTATTTATTCTGAACCTCTTCTCAGCTAGGGCGAGAGGCTGCTGCGCTGCCCCCAAAGGGGAAAGCGCAGGGCACCCAGCACTGCTCCAGCACTCGGGGCCTGCACCGAGGCCTCGGGCTTTGCTACCTGGGGTGTGAACGCCGGCCGTGTCCCTGCAGCCCAGCTGGTTCCGCTGACCTGAGCTGGGTTGGAGTGGCGTGAAATCTGTGCCAAGATCCGGCCCGCTGATGAGGGCTGCTGCTGAATAATGTTCACAGGAGGCACCATGCTGCTGCTCCTGAGGGACGGGAGAGGCACTCTGAGGACGCCAGGTATCACACACAGGACGAGGAGGCGCAAATACCACCCGTGCAAGTCACCGGTGGGGGGGAAATGAGCCCAGAAACGTGGGGTAACTTTGCTCGCGTGCCAGCGCCTGCCACGCTGCTCCGCTGTGGACCCAACTGGCAGGAGCTGCTGGGTTTGTGGACAAGGATACCCCCGCCCAGCTCAGTCCCCGGGGTCCCGCCTAAGCTAAGAGGGGTACAGCGACCCCGCGGACAAGCTTCGGCAAGCGACAGAGCAGAGGGCTAGTGGGGAATCGAGGCAGGAGCTGGGGAGGTAAAGATGAGGGGGAGGACTGGCACAGCAGAGGAGCGGCCGTGCTGACTCTGTGCTCAACCCCAAAGCTCCTGCACCGCTCAGCAGGAGCGAAGCGGCAGCAGGCAGGAGAGCGGGGGCGCAGGAGCCCTCCTCCTGCCCACCCCTCAAGGAAACCAGCACTTGGATGGGCTCCCCCTGTATTTTCTGGGGGCACTATATAGGAAGGCAATCATGGGCAATCACTGCCGCGCGGAGAGAGGCTGGGAAGGCCCAGCTGTTGCAGGAGGACACACAAACAGGACAGGAACAACCGCAGGGCAAGATAAAATGAACACGAGGCCATTCAAAGCACAGCGCAGGAAGCCTCACCTGAAGTTCTCGGCAGGTCGTGCTGGGGTGAAAGTGTTTCCCTGCGTAAAGAGGGGCTGGTTGGCAGGCACTGTGCTGGCGGGAATGGCTTTGTTCTGGTCTGCAGAGAGAGGCTGATTCACTTCAGGGCTCAGAAAGTCTCAGCAGCAGGAACAGGGACAGAGAACCAGTTGCAAGAGACATGCCCGTGTGAAGGAAGGCTGTTTTGAGCCAAAGCAAACACGACTCTTCCTTATCCAGGCACGGACTCCAGATGGTTTTGTAAAAGCCTATTTAATTTGATTTCCTCTCCATTTTCTAATAAACTTGCATTAAGGTCCTCTGGGGTTAGACCATCCACTAGGCTCAGTGCTCAGACTGGGAACACAGGGAACTGCTCTCTAGGGACAAGCAGGAAGGATCAGACTAAGGCAGGCAGTGAGGCCAGAGCAAGAGACACCTCGGCACCCACTCCCTCCCCACGGCTCTCCGGCAAAACGGGGGCTGCAGGACAATTCACCGCCACAACAGCGCTTCAGCAGGGGCAGGAATTATCCACCCAACGTCAAAATGAGCACTATTCTGCAAGGCCTGGGCTGCCACACCACAGTCACGCCGAGCCTCTGCACCCAGAGCTGCTCTGAGCGACGCGGGGAAGAGCAAAGAGCACGCGGATGGAAGCTGCGATCGGGTAACGGGGCAACACGGCCCAGCACTCCCTACCTGTGCTGATACTGCTGTAGATTTCGCTGAACCTGGGGTCCCGCTCCTGATTAAAAAGGCTCTCTGCCTTCTCCAAGGGCTTGCTGTGCTCTGGGCCGGCAGCAGTCACAGGCTGAACGGGAACCTGGGGCAGGCGTAAGCGGGAGCTGTTAGTACCTCGAGCGCTAAGGAAGTCAGCGGCCTCGCAGCCAGCACGGAGAGCAGCCGAGGCCTTTGCAGGCAAAGAGCTCGCACGCGGGAGTCCGGGCTCCTCTCTGGGCTCACGGGGATTTTATGGGGACAGCGGGGCTGTTCAGGGCTGGCGGCATCGACACGGGCATAGTGGGGAGGGCGCCCCAGGGGCGGCTCAGAATCAAGCAAGCAGATCCAGCAGAACCCCAGGCAGAACACCTTCCTCTCCCAGTTCTCAGCAGCCTCAAGTCGATCCTGCGTGGCCACCCTCCAAGTCCCAGCAAAACGTAATCTAAATAATGCGGGACGACGAATGCAAGGAGTGAGCAAAACCTCTGCTGACTTACCTGTGAGTGGTCGTAACCAGACAGGCTCTCTCTTCCTGGGACCACTTCCAGCTCTGTCTGTTGTGGAGGCTGCTGCTGCCTAAAATAGAAAGTCTCTGTAACAGGAGAACACTGGCTGCTAAAAACGATTGCCAAGGGAACAGATACTCTGTGGTTACACCAATGATTCATTAGCCCAGAGGAGTTCATGGCTGCAGAGAGGAAAGTTTGGGTAGGAAGGCTATTTGACAGGAGGGCAGAACCAGCAAGAGAGGCATGGTAAAAGGAGCTGAGCACCTCCTGACCTTGAGGGCAGCTGTGCCGTGCCCATCTCCAGGGGAAGGCTGACACTCTGCCCCAGCTGGGGCCTCTGCATTGAGTTTGACAGGGCAGGCCGAGACTCCTGGTTCGAGTTCCTTTAAAGCAAAGAAAGAAAGAAAGAAAAAAAAAATATATTTAAAAAGTACCAAATGAAAAGCAAACAGTTGGCTACCGCGTGTAGGAGCGCGCGCCTGTCTCGGACAAGACTGGAAGCTTTGCTTTTGCAAAACCTGTTTGAGTGAAGGATCCTTCCACTCAGCTTCCATGGCCTCTGCGAGGGGGGGGTGTCATGTAATACAATGCGAACGGCGGTGAGCCAAAGGGCTCTGCCCCCTCCCACTCAGTCACTGAGCGGGGGAGCAATTCTAACCTCCCCCAGGAGCACGGCCAGATCTGCATCGTCCTTAAAGCACAAGCAAAGGTTGTAGGAACCTGGGAACCGCCAAGGATTCAGCCCTATGTCAGACACTCCAGAGCTGAAGCATGCAGAGACCACCAGCATTTAGGTTTTAAGCCCAAGACGTTGGTGGAGATCTCTGTGCCCTTCTGTTAACTGTCAGAAGTCACTTAACGTCTAACTCCCACAAAAAAAGGAATAAAAATCCAGCGTTTTCTCGACAGTTCTTTCGCAAGCTGCTGCTTCAGTAGTACCTGATCGCAAAGATGAAACAATACAGATAACCTAGCAAAGATGCACATCGATAAAACGCACCTCAACCACCATCACATGCAGATGGCTGCTTATCTGGTCTGAATTTATGCAGTGCTTTAGAAGGCGTAGCATGGATGTGAGAATGGATGCGTGTGGAATGAATGAGTTCAAAGAGATCTCTCTAACACCAGGACAGGAATTAAGGCCTGTATCAGATCTGCATCAGGTTCAGCCCTGCACTCAGACCACAGCTCTTTAAAGCCAGAAGGATTTGTCACTGCTCAGCCCTGAATACTTTCTCATCAGAAAGCACCAGCTTGCCAGCTGCGGGAAGGGAAGAACTGTTACCTGCACTCTAGGACTCTGCCTCTTTGCAAAAAAACTCCTGGCTTTTCACTTGCCCACAAGCAATCTAGCCTTCCGTTTGCCTGGCTGGAGAGACTCCGTTTGCTGCGCCCACCAAGCCTGCAGTTACGAATCACATGCAGGCACTTTTTTTTTTTTTTTTTCCTTTATTTCAGTTGCTGCTCTTCTGTAAGGGGACTGGAGCTCACTCATGGGAGGAGAGAGCAGCTCTGATCACTCCCAACCCACTGGAATAGTCAAGAGGGGTAAAAGAAGAGAGCAGCAATGAAAGCAGCCTCCCCACAGGAGCTTGTTTCCGAGTCCAAAGACAAACTACAGCAGTGAAGAAAAATAAGTGTTTGCTTCCTAGCATCAGCTGCAGACAGTGCTGCTCATGTGAAAAGCCATGGGCTGGACCAGCTGCCCCCCTGGACTGTCACAGGAGTCCAAGAGCTACATTCAAAGGCAGACTTCGCTAATATTAGCTCCGAATGCAAACACACAGCCAGGAGACTTGCTCCAATAACCAGAGTTAAAAAAGGCCCTGCTGGAGCCCAGCTTTGGCAGCTTGCTAAGCCATACAACCGAGACAGCCAAAGGAATTAAATTGCTTGCACTTTATAGTCCTCTAGTGCCTGCCACAGCCCAGGAAAAGAACGCTCACGGGACTTAGCAATTTCTCCAGGGCCTGTGCAAAGCTTGGTGAGGGGGAGAGGCCAAAGCTCCCGCAGTTCTGTGCTGCTGCTTATTCTGGGACAAGGTCCCAGCAGGTTCGTGTGCTATCACTGGTGGTTGGCAAGTCATTTCCATGTACATACTTGACGTTGGTGTTGGTACAGATGATGTACTCAATTTCATCCGAGTAGGGGTTCTGGAAGGTAAAGGAGCTGGTTCTCATCCAGAGCCATTCCCGGTTTTTGGATCGGAATCGGAACATGACTGACAGAACCTGGCCTTTTAACTTCACCACCTAAAAAAACGTAATGCCATCAGTAGTACCTGATAAAAGAAGGCGTTGAAGAGCAACTTGCTTCTGAGCACAAGCCACCCCCCACTAAAACCCTGTGATGGCCCTTTGCCTCGAAGCCTACGAGACCATATCTTGGTCTTCCCCAACTAAATGGTACTGTTGCTACTCCCTTGCACCATCTTGATTCCTGAATGATATGGGAGGGGAATCTATCATCCCCTTTTTGGCTTCCACTTTTCCTATCTCTTTGCACTGGTGAGATGTATGAAAAAGCCTCCGGTAAATGAAGCACATGCTGTTGCTTCCGATTCCAACTATTTGCACAAATGGATATGAGCAGCTACTTTTTGGAGTCATGAAAGCACAGGGGCAGTCTTACCTGCCCTGCCACAAGTCCAACGCCCTCAGAAATAAGAGTAACGACAACAGGGCAAGCAAACCACATCCATTTCGAGTTCTGCAGCACTGGGCTGGGCCCTAGAGATGAACCAGTGTTTCAGCCACAGAAGCATGGCATTCAGGTAGGCACTTTGTAGCCACGTCTCTGGCCCTAAAAGCAGACTGGACTAGCAGCCAGAGGATGAATTCAAGAGTTAGACATCAGATGCTTCTGTTTTGTTTTGCACGTTTACAGTTACGTGACTATATCTGTAACTGTTTGCCATTGGGCAAAGGAGAAACATCTAAGGTTTATTTTCCTCTTGGTTTTCCAATTAGTTTCATTGCTTTGCAAGAACCAAGACAGATTCCAATCTGAACACCACGCTGCATGCAAAGTGGTAGCTAAAGTGTTTTACCTGCTGAAAGCTGTCCCGCAAAAGCTGTTGGTCTTCCGGGTGGCAGAAATCCACAATGTCCTTCCCCAGAAGTTCCTGATTTTAAAGGAATTGGGAGAGAGATCAAGTTAGTTCATCTGGCAGGCAGACTCCCTCTTTCAGGTCTGCCCCATTAATTCCACTTTGGACAGGTAGTTACTGCTCCCCCCCCCCCCCCCAATCACTGTTACACAAACCAAGTACAGGAACCAGCGTGCTGTGTTTTAAAAGAGAAGCACACCAGCCGTTGGCTAACGTTTGATCTCTGACTCAAATGGAGGCAAAAATGATCTTAATTGACATTCGACATAATCCAGAGCCGCCCACCCTTCAAATGATCAAAGTACTGAGAAAAGCACATGAAAAAGCAACAGGCAGAGAAGAAACACGTCTGGTTTAGGCCCTGGGCATCGTTTTATCAGATCTGTTAGACAAGCAGAGCCATGATGTCCAAGACAGGGAGGAGGGAAAAGCAAGTCCGCACAGCAGCTTTTTCTTAGAAAGCTCCTACCATTTGCTCACCTGTGGCTGGTAGCCAACCGTAGCCACACATCGGTGATCTATGAAGGTAAAAATGCCTTCGGTGTTGTGTCGGGAGATGAACTCTGTTGGCTGACAAACATTGTTCATGTCTGTGCAGTTGGGTGAGCTGGTGACCTGCGAGGCAAGACGGGCACAGCGTTACCGCATCCTGCGAGAGCTGCTTTCTGCTGCCCAGCCAGCCCTGCAGTTGGGCTTGTGGCAATCAGGGAGATGGAACAGTTTAACTCTGGGGACTTTTAGGACAAGGCAACGTTGAACCATCGACAGATGCTACCCACCTGGAGCCTGCCAATAGCCACGAGGCAAAACTTGCTGCCCTGGCCAGCGTCCGGGTCATCATCAGGCAGTGAAACACCTGAGAGGAGTGCCAAAAAATTCCAGCAAGATTAATACAGGAAAAACGGCGAATTTCAGAGGAAAAAAAGACATGCAGTTCTGATTTCAATATGTCTTTCCACCCTGTTTTGTAATTCAGTATCTTTTTTCATGAAGGAATTTGGTAAATTAAGTTGCTTCCCCCTGCCTTTTTTCACCAGAAAAGTTAAAGATCTCTAACTTTCAGCACCATATCAGACAGCGTAATATCAGCTGCATCCTCTACAGTATCTCTACTGCCCAGAGACACAGATCCAGCATCAGCAAAAATCAGTTCAATCTTAAAATAAGAACAAGTGATAGATACATTTGCAAAGCATTTGCCGGCACATTCGGGTCACAGGAAGGACAACTTTAGACCATATGCTCTTAAAACAAGCCACAACCGAACACTTCAGCGAAGTCATTACCTGCGGGGGGCCAGGCTTTTATGTAACCCGTGCAGTGCACCACAACGTAGTGAGGTTCGCCATCTTTTGCAGCACCTAAGCCATTCCTTGGGAGAGAGAAACAGTCTGATTCTTCTATATATTAAACTGGGGTGAGGGTGAGGCAAAGTTTCTACCTGTGTTTTAAAAAAAAGCTTCCACAGAACGTCTTTAGGGTAAAGAACAAATAAAGACTTAACATAAATCAAATCCAATATTGGAATAAAGAAAGATTCATCTTCCCCAGGATTATCTCCCTCAACACAGGGGTACTTTGATTCCTCTACCAGCAGAGGTATCTAAACCCCTCTGTGAGCTGTACTAGCCTACTCTACACACACTCACCACAGCGTGTCCTCACCACTGACAGAGCTGCAGCTCCTTCTGATCCTAGCAACGCAGCGTGCTTGCCCATAACTCTTGTATTGCTTACCTGCAGCGATTCCTCATAAAGCTGAGACGGTTTACAGAGACCGGATCCACCGAGCTGTTGCCACACCTGTACCAAAATCAGAAACACGACGAGAAAGGCTTCTGTCTTTCTTGGTCAACAGCAAAACAACCTGACAGTCTTTAATAAGAGGAGGCACTCTACAAATGGCGATGAAGCTTTGAATCTCCATCACATGAGCCAAAAGCCCTCGCTCTACAGACTTCAAGGGAGGTGACACACGGGGTCAAACCCAGCGTTACTTGAAACTGGATCTTCTACAACAGTCCGGAGAGCTATCTTAGCATAGGGCAAAGAAAATTCTCAAGAACTTGACTGTTGGTACAGCGTGGAAAGCTCAGCCATGTTGTATCATGTCTACCTCAGAACGAGCAAAAAAAAAAAAAACTGAAATAAAACCATGAAGGGGCCAGGGGGCAAGTTTGGCTTCAGGCTCAAATGAGATTTCCCCAAGGAATCTCTTCATTACCTCATTCGGCAGATGAAAGATCTCCGTGAGCCCATACACATCCTCATGGACTGCTGGCCTTCCTTCTTGACAGTGCCCGTCTTCAAATCTAGGATGCGACCTAGAGAAAGAAGCAAAACCAAGATGCTTGCTGCGATGTGAGTCCTTCCACCAACACAGGCACCAGGTAACATATTAGGAAACTAGCAGGACACAAGTGTCACCAATGGTACCTTTAGATGCATTCTCAGGGGGGGCTGCAGGATCCTTGTTAGAAAGGCACCAGGGTTTGGTTCCTTCTACAAAGGGAAGGTTTTAATCCAAGTCCTCTGCAGGCTTTCACACTGCCCGCCCCCGCCAGTCCCTCCCCAGGCTGCTTTACCTGTCAGTGCATTCTCTGATGTGGAGAGCTGCTCCCTCAGCTTGCCCACGTCATCTGGGTGCACCTGGTCATAGAGGGTGCTGCCAAACCACTCGGACTGGGGCTGGTTCAGGACAGGAGTCACCGAATCGGAGACATAGACCACCCTCCCGGTCTCACAGGACACGATGAACAGAAAGCCGTCGGCTGCCTCTAGGATCAGGTGTTTGAGTTCCTGCATTCCGACAGACACACACACACTCTTAACTCCGGAGCCAAGCAGGCGACACCCTCTAAACCCACCCTGGGCGCCCATCTCCCTCCGCCCACAACTCCATTCCCCTCTCTGATTGCAGTATTTCCCACAAAGCAGCATCAAGCCAAGACCTGGTCGGTGAGAAAGGAGGGTTTGTAGGTGCCGTCAGTGGAGGTATTGCCTGTGCCACGCAGGGACTTCATGTGAGAGACAGCCATGCGCAAGATGGTGAGCTTGTCCGGTTTGCGGGCCAGGGCACTGCAGGTGGGCACCATGTCGGACAGCTCCGTGATGTAGGCAGTCATCTTGTTCCTTCGCCTACGTTCAATCTCGCTGTGATTTTCCCTGCAAAAGGCCAGGCAGGAGAGGAGGAAGACGAAGTCACCAACGGGCCGGAAGCCTCAGCCAGTTCCCCATGTCAACACTTCCACAAGGCCAGAGTGCAAAACACAGAGATGCATCGGGGTCGTTAGAAGGACTACAAGCGCCTCACATGCTGGGCGTGCACAAAGGAACACAGGAACAAGTGCAAGGAGGAGAGTCTACAGCTGGACCTCTGCTGCGGACAAGTGCCTTGCTTCCCCGGTCCCTGGCGAAGGCAATGAGCTGGGCTGGGCTATTTTAGCAGAGAAAGAAGCTTCCCCATCAATTCCACAACACTGCAGCAAGCCAGAGGATTTCTTCCTTTACCATGGCCTCTGCTCTCAAAGTGGGGTTCACCTCGCTTTACTGAGGAAATTTGCTTTTTAACAGCACTGGTGCAGACAGGCTAGGACGACTCATCCCACCCACTGCTTGTCTGAGGATGACTCAAATCCCCTCTGCCATCACCCTTCAGACACCCACCCGTCTCCCACATCCGTACAAGGAGGCCAGGGCTGCAGCTACAACATGGGCACCTACGTTACAACAGATGAGCCTCACGCTGCAGTGCCTTTGTGAAGATACTTCTCAGTCACACTGAGAGCCTTTTGCAATATCATGGCAGGAGGGAGAGCTTTAGAGGAGATATACAAGGCCCAGGCAGACGGACCATCTACCGGGCACGCACCCGGGTGGCGCGACGGACCTGTAAAGGGGCACCACAACGAATGCTGCCCACTTACAGTCCTTAAAGAGGTTCTTCACGTGCCTTTTGAAAGCCTGTTCACAGGGCACAGTCCCCACCAACCCCCCCAGAGTTCAGAACATAATTTGTTTAGACTTGGTTCTTTTTATCCAGCGTATGTAGTCTAACTAGGTCACTAAGGTGGGTTTTTCAAAACAGAACTTAAAAGCCAGGTTTCCTATACAGAAAGATGGATCAGATGCAAGGAAGCACATGGTGGGAAATGAAATGAGATGAAAGTGTTGGAAGGTGCACAGACAGGCAAGTGAATTAAAGAGGATAAATACAAGAATGGGGCATTTATCACTACCAGGTGTATGCAATCATTCAACGACCTTGCTCCTTGCTGCAAGAAACTGATCTTCAGAAAAAGAAGTGCTCCAATTATCACACTCACCTGCAATTCAGTTTCTCCAAACTCACATGCTCAAGTGTGAAAGTGAAGCTACCTTCACTACAAAGGCTACTGGGAAGCCACCAGACATTTTACTTGCCCCGCTGCCAAATATTCTTCACTACTGGCTCTCGCATGACAGCAAGGACTGACTACTGGGGACAGAGGAAAGGGCCACTACTTCACTGGAAGAGAAATCCCTGAAAAGCACTGCTCTTTGCTGTATTCACAGACCCTACCTCTAGGGCTTCCTTATCGCCTCAAATATTTAAGCTATGCAATACTGCAGTTAGGAAAGGCTGTGTTCGGGGCTTATTTTCTGTTTTAAAACCAGCCAGCAGGCAATAAACTGACCAGAACCGTGGCATTCTCAGCACCCAATACAGTCTTTTTTAGTCCTGTGCATTGTTTGAGAGCAAGTCCAAAGAAGTTACAGGGTACATTTGCAAGATGGCAAGCCACAAAACAAGCCGTTCCTCATGAATTACCAACCCTCAGCTCTGCAGCAGTAACGAGCTGTGGGTGACAGCAGAAACCTTGATGATGATTTAAACAGTTTTTATTTTGCAGCTGAGAATAGGGACGGGTACATTCAGAGTTGGTGTTTTTCCGCTGCAGAAATGCAGTCCTGACAGCGCAGCATCTCAACCAGCTGCAGCTGTACACACACACACACACTCTCGGGGTACATGTCTGGATTAATGGTACAGCATTCAAGAGGACTGCTTCGGTCATTTTAGCCCCAGCCTGTCATTAATTACAAACAGGAACTTAGGGAAAAAAAAAAAAAAATCTTGTTTTCAGTAAGCTTAAATCACTGTAATGGATAGGATTCCACATTTCCTGGAAGGTTTTATGGGGTAGAAAAAAACTGAACTAGTATAGTTTTTAATTTCTGGCTTGATAGTACAACAGCATTTCTGTGACAAAACCTTTCCAAGGTGAGAACAGGCCATTTGGCACCTTGATCCAGCACAAGAGAAACTGTATTTAGCACAGGTTACCAAAGCTACAGTACTCGGTGAAAGCAACGGCCCAACCACACTCTGCCCTGCAGCCTTTGGCAAATAAATCCTTTTGTGTATTCCCCAAAGATGTTCCTGCAAGGGGACTAAATGCCTTTTCCCTCCTAATTCCAATTGCACAGCGATTTCCAGAAGTCTGTTCACTTTCAAGTCCTCTACTGCAGCAGATGAGGGAAGGAGGGGGAAAAAAGAGAAGTGATGCCTAGAGAAACATTAAGGAAAGGAAATACTCTGCTTGTCCATGCTTGAAATCTCCATTCTCCTACCTGGCAAGTCTCTCCTTATCCGCTGAACTCTGTTCATCATCAGACCTAAAAATAAAATCAGCGATCTAAGCTAAAATGGAAAAAGTTTAAAGAAATGAAAAATGGGAAGATGTACTAGGAAACCCAGCCTACAGACACGTCTGTTTTGCAGAGAAGCAATTCCACAAAACAAAGCAGTCGTTAGTTTGCAACATTACACATTAAACGGGTGCCTCTGCCTACATTGTTTTGAATTTTTCAGACGCTTATCAAGAGTGTAAAATAGGCAAGGGGTAGCTCTGTTTTACATATAATCGAGGTGCAGATTATTCTGCACAAGATTAGAAGGTTAATGGCAGAACTGGGAATTAGGGTCCCAGTCACATCAAACTACTCTTTCTTTAAAGAAAAAAAAATAGCCTCTTCAAAAGTATTAACAAATCAGAATAGCAGATTAAAAACCCCAAATCCACAAACAGTGTAAGATTCACAGCTAACAACACATACTTTTGTAATGCTGCTACATAAACACCATTCAGGACAACACAGTCGAGATGGCTACAGGACAAAGAGCACACAGAGGTGTTATGCGTGTGATCTACAAAAAGGCACACAGACATCCCCACCAACCTGCAGGAACACTCAGTTTCCAGAGAAGAGGAATCTGCAAACCTTGTTTTACAGAGGCTGAATAAATCTTCCTCCTTGAGGTTTGGCTGCCTTGGGAAACAAATAATCCCCCAAAGCTACCACCAGGAAAGGAGAAGGTACCACATGGGCCCATGTAAGCCCTCAAAGGCTGAGCATCTAAAACATACACGGTGGGTTTATGGAGTACAGGAGTTGTTTTTAGCATTAGCCAGCTGTGGTACCCTTCTACTTCAAAGAGGTTTTAGTACAGTGCTTCAAAAACCCCAGTAGTCATGCTCACTTCCATGCTCTGTTTTGCCTCTCATCATCTGAGGGAAGACTGCACTGGAAAACGAGGGCTGCCGGAGCCGCGAGGGGCGTGATCTGAGCAGTCCTGGGCAACAGATGCGAGAGCTACGGGCAGGCCACGGGGCACAGACACAGAGGGGAGCTGTGCCACGCGGCTCTTACAGCCACTTTTCGGGGTGACTTTGTCACTGCTCTTCACCTCCTGCCACTGTACTTGCAGCCTGAGCCAGCAGTGGCAAGCGATAATCTCTGCATTAAAGCGCAGCGGTACTGCCAGTGCCCCACCAGAGACGGAGGCTCCGGCCTTCGCAACTCGGAAGAGACATTCGGCGGTTTTGTTTCTCTGTCCGTGCCCTCCTCACCTACCACGTGTTATCAGCCAGCGTGATCAAAGGCCACACCACAGCAGGGTCACAGGGAGCCAAGACCCTGCTCCAGCTATGGCACTGCACAGTAAGGGAAAAGAATTTTTAACTTCTAAGGGCCACAAACCTGGTCAGCACTGCAGTGCTTCCCTACAGCATGTGCTTTTCTGGTATTTTGCATCAGCTTAGCACCTAAATCTACTATTAGGGTCTGCTACACCTTAAGTTCCCAGAGCTCATGACTTGCCCTAGGGAGTTAATCCACGTGGGCAAATTTCTAATTTGCTTGACTTCAGAACAAGTCAAACCACTTAAAAAGCTGGAGAACCTCAGCTTCAAAGTCTCTGCTAGCCCTTCGGCAGATAACAGTGTGACGGTGACCCAAAATTTTGGCTTTGCAATTTTTTTTGCCTCTCTGCATTGAGACTCTGACACAGGTCTAAAGCTCTGGTGGAAACATTACAGAATGGACATTTTGCAAAGCGTTTCCAGACCGCTCGTTTCAGCGCGTGACCTCAGTGAAAGCACAGGGAAAGGGCCCTGCACCCAGCACTGTCCCTGGCTCAGTCTGCAACACGATCTGCCCTGCTGACCCTCGGGCTCCTTGACACAACATGCCAGGCTGTCCTTTCCCCAATGTCCTCAATCACTTGAATTTTTACTCCAATTTCAGGAATTTCTGAAGTCAGGCCCCTCCTTAAGACAAGCCTCTAAGCATAGTGTCTTGGCCATTATTCTGTATTTGCTTATTTTATCTCTTAGCAAGTCAGGGCAGGATGTGCCTTTGCACTGAGGGGACACCCTAGAACCTACAGCACTCAGAATATACGCAGAAGAACCTCAAAAAACATTTTTGAGGCAATGTTTGGCAAAAACGTTTCACATCGACACAAAATAAAACCATGAGCTGTAAAAATACCATGAGGTCAGTCCCAGTACTAGATGGTACAGAGCTACTTTCAGACACCAACAAGTAAAGTATTTCCTATAATGTTACTGTACACTCTGTTCTCTAGGAAATCCCCCGTTTATCAAGAAAGCTTCTGCCTAACTCCCTCACAAAACACACAAACCACGACACTTGCCAGGAAACCCTGTTCAAGTAAAACTTGAACTCAACATGAAACTTGTATCTCTGCAAGTTTCTTGTGCAGGAGAAAAGAATGAGAGCCCAAGGCAACAGCTGAAAGAAATGTTGAAAGAGAGGAACATAATTTCATCACATTCATAACAAACTGGTCCATGAAACATCAAGGAAAATGTCTGGATCCTTTGGTGCACCTTCCTTCAAAGAGAGAAAATCTAACCGCTAGTTAGAAGGGTGCTGCTGCAGGATCTCTCTTCCACTAAGGTGGTTTGGCATTAAAAGCTTCAAAAACTGCATCACAGCAGATTCTTACCTGGCAAATCTCTCTTTATCATTTGGCATCGGATCATCATCGCATCTAGGAGAAGGGGGAGAAGATGAAGAGTTCTTAAAGCATTTACACTTATTTCTTTCCCAAAGACACCGAGAGAAGAACTAGGTTTAGTAAATCATGCAAAAAAGGTCTGGTGTTAAAAAGGTAAACTCTGCTGTGTGCAGGTAATCCAGAGCCATACTCTTCATTTGTCTGGTTAAAAGAGTGCAGTTTAATGATATTTACCACCTTGGAGACGTTTTCCACATCACATTCATATCAAGGACAGTGGTACCACACTCAGTAATTTAAGCACAATCACACACAAAGGAATAGGTTAAATTACACTGTGAAGATACAATGAGCCCAAATCAAGACCCTCATCCAAAGGATCTCAGTAGGCAAATCAGGCTCATTATCATCTCGCAGCCATTCCAGAGTCATCTTTAAAAGACTGTAACGTATGGACTTCCAGCATCGTTAGATTTGAACAGTCCTAAACCATGGAGCAAGACTACAAATAAGTGACATGAACTATTCCAACTCTTCTGCGTTCCATATGGATCATGAGAGGAGATACTTGCAGCCTTGCCAACTCCTTGGGAGTAAGGATGTCTCTGTAATTGAAGCATCCTTACAACAGATGAGAATTAAGGAACACGTGTCTGAGGCACTAACAAAAGCTCAGCATCTCACTGCTGTGTCGATAAGCTATTTGGCAGAAGATTTTTCTCTACAATCAGCAGAGGCTTGGCCAGCAGCAGTGCTCCCGTAATGCTGCGCTGGAACAACCGACGGACTGATGGAAGCATTCATGGAAACTATTTAATCTTTTGAGATGCTGGTATCGAACACAGTGACATCATCACGGAGTTCTGCAACACCGCCCCAACCCAGGGCTGGCGAGGCTCACTTCAGCTGACCTCGCCTCGCTACGGGGCCTACCAGGGAGGCTCCAGATGGAGATGGCATCCAAAGGAGTAACGGGATCCCCTCCCAGCCACAGTCCCTTCTCCAGACTCACAGACCCCATGTGCGCAGCAGCTTTGCTTTGGCATCAGCTGCAAAGATGGAGGAATACTGCTGACAGGAGAAAGGGGGGAGTGTGAGGAAGTGGGGCACCACCTCCTTCAGACCCCGCTTCCCTCTGCACTGTCACAGAGGAAAAGCCACAAGAGGGGGAACGCAGAGACACACCTAGACCACACAACAGAAATTTGTGGGCGCAATGTTCTCCCTCACCTGAGGAATTTACTGTTCCCTTCTCCATCATCATCAAAATCAAGCCTGAAAAACAGAAGCAAGAAGATAATTATTAACCAAGTGGTTTCTCCTTTACAGGTTGCTTCTCCACCTGTGCCTACAGGGAGGCAGATGATTCCTGAAAGCAAAATTTCAAGTAAGCCGAGGGGCTGATGTGAAACAACTTACAAAGTTTACAAGGAGGTTTCCTTTACACGTCTATCAGAAACAGGACAAGGAATCAGTTCAAAAGACAGAAAGCCCACTTGGAACACCCACTGCACCGCAACCTCCTGCGCCAAAAGCTCTGGATCTCGCAGCAGCAATCTGGAGCCCAGCAGGCTGCCATAACTGCTCCTCACTGCTCAAGGGACTGATCATCAGTCTAAAAACAGAGCACTCCCAACTCAAAAGCTTGGATTGGTTGCATTTAAAAAAGAAAAAAGAGGGCAAAATACTTCAAGAGTTAAAGTTCAGTCTGGTGACCTGTGTGGTTAAGTGTCCTTGGTTCAACAGCAGACAGCATCACTGTGTTTGCTGTAACAGGGTCAAAAAAACACTTCTAACAAGTGTATGTGGGAGGACAGAGGAAAGGCTTTTCACTGCATTTCCTTTCAGGATGGAAAACTGGCGTGTAGATGCAGCACAGCAGCGTGTGTGTTTGTAAATGAAGTGTGAGGAACAAGTAGCAGACAGCGTGGGAGGAGTTGCAGGGGAGTGGGAGCATCAGCAAATGGAAGTGAAGGAAAGTTTGAGTGACTAGGGGGTGGGGGACAGGGAGAGATTTTAATTACCTTGAAAATTAAGAGGAAATTTCTTGTGCCAGGAATTTAAGAGCAGCCACTCAATATCCTTTTAATTTGCAAAGGCATTCTTAGCAAACAAAAAGCCTACCACAAGCACAGTGTGGCTTCCCCCCACCCTCTCCCAGAGAGGGCAGAGTTGCAAAGGTTCCAGTCAGGCCCCAACATTCACATTCTCTGTCCCTCTGTCTCTCTCACAGCAACTGTCTTGTCTTGCTGCTTCAGTGGCCCGGGTTTCACTCTCAATCCTTGGTGAACAACCCTGTCCTGTGAGGTGCAGCTTAACTTTCCAATCCCCTCTTTCTATATGGATCACAGAACCTGGCTTTAATGGGTATAATTGGCATAAAGCATACCACTGCAAAGTAAAGGGACCGGATACCACACACCTGAGGGAACCAGGGAACTTCTTTGCTTAGAAGTAGACAAGTTTCCTCATCACAAGGCTGACCGCTCTTTCAAGAGAACCATGCTTCCTCAAAAACACACTTCACACACACACACCTTCCCCAAAAACGTAAAAACCGCAGGCACACAGAGCACCCACTCACCCAGGACGCCTCTTGCTGGGTCTCTGAACAATGGCTCCTCCAGCTTGTGCACCCGGTCCAGGGTTCCCAGAGCCGACGGCTGCACCCAGCGAGGAAACATCTGATGCCATTTCTAAACAAGACAGTAGAAGAAACCAGTATTACGTTAAATTTCCCTCTATTTCAGAGGGTGGAGTATTCTCCACATATAGCTCCCATTAAAAGCAACTGCATTTCAGCATCTGTGGAAAGATTTTGTGCAATGTGTGCTTCTAGTCCTTTCATCTACCGCCTCTCCAGAGCCTGCACTAAGGGCTCATTTCAAGCTTTGAGCACATGCTGTTTTCATAAGCTCAAAAGCTTAGATCACTAAACTAAAAGATGTGGTCTCCTTTTTAGACAGAGGAGGAGCCTGATGTGATCGTGGGTAGGGGCTGAACCCATTCTCATATGCTAGCTGCAGGAATACGCAGAAAGGGAGGAGAAGAGTTGCAAGTTCGCCTAACAATGTTAATGCTGCCTCTTGGAAAGGGCTGATTTCCCGATCTAAGAGACAAAGAATTAACCAAGACACTTGTAAGGCACCTTGCAAACCATGATCTTTCAGACAGTCATTTTGATTCCTCGGTGGTATCAACCTGTGAGCACCACACACATGATTACCAATCTCTGCCTACGCTCTCCTGCAACTGGCCACACACCCCGAGCAGAAAAATGTCATTTTGGGGAAGAACTGATACTACCTCCATTAGGCACGATGGCAGGCTTGCTTAGAGAAAAAGGCCTTGTGTTTTACATGTAAAAAAACTTGCATAAGCAGTAGGAAACCTTATCAATGCTTTCTAAGCAATGAAACAGGCAGGTAATGCCCTCAAGAAGTGTGGAACTGGTAAGCCTTCAGAGACCAGGCCACACAATATTGCAGTACTGCTTCCACCAGAGGTTCCACGTAGATACAACATTTGGGAAAATAAAAAGTCTACTTCAAAATGTGAAAAATAAGCCCTTTACGATGTACGGGAAAGAAAGAAACATCTAATTGGAGAACTTGAGTGCGCTGCCCACAAGTTGGATGGCAGGCCCAAGCCTGTTACACATTACGGGTTTTTTCCACAATGAAAGCGAAGGGCCTCAGCTCCCCCCGCTGCCACGCACACACGGAACCACTTCCCCGGCTGGGTGGGCAGGCTGAGCTCCCAACCCCTGACCCCTCCAGGCACTGCAAATGCCCCCTTCTCCCCCCCAAACACTCCACCAGCAGCTCCCAGCTCCTACCAACACGCCCTGGGATTTCTCGTTCCCTGCAAACCAAGAGACTATGTGTGCAAGCAGCGTTTGACAGCAGACACTGAGCCTCACTTCGATCCTCAAGCAGGGCTTTCGCCTAATCCCGGTTGTTCAGGAGCACACAGAACAGGCTCTGTCGGCGTTCAAAGCTTGTTCAGCACGGCTTAAACTGAAGCCATGTCATAACACCGCCACGAGAGCTGCGTTCAACCTTCTCCTACATTAGCACAGTCTGATCTGCACCAGAACCAGAGCTTTTAAACAAGTTATAGAGCATTTTTTCGTGCTTCTGAAATAAGTCAGCTCTGTACTCGTTTTAATGGTTGTGGGTTTTTAAGTTTTCTGCTAACCAACTGCTAGACTGCAACCAAAACAGTCGCTCCAATCAGAGAATTTCCACCCACAGCCTTTGCAAACTGAGCCGCACGGAGCGCCTCAAAGACAGACAAACCACTTCTGTGTTATCAAAGTGGAGGGGACCAAAAACCCGACACACAAAAAAAAAAATGTTGCTGGTGTTCCCAGACACACAGGGCTGCTTATGCATGAAATGCTGCCGGAGCTGGTGGGACAAAGAAAAGAACTGAAGTCAGGTTTAACAAATATGGCAACAAATCGGGGCTTAAACTGCGAGGCTGTCAAGTCTCAGCTTAGCCAAACCCACGGGGATATCGCTCGACAAGGAAAGGAGAGCTATGCCATAGCAGGCTTCTGTGCAACAGTGCCCGTTGTTGCTTCTCACCTCATCAAACACAAAACACAGCCTTTTGTATTCCCTGCATCAGGAAAGGAAAAAAAAAAAAAAAAACACAACTATTTTCAACATCATAGATACATCTGGGTTTAGCAGGTATTTTTACAGTTCCTGAAGTCAGATTTCAGTCCAAGAGCAGTTTAATCTAAGCAGAGTCAGACAGGGGCTCGCCTGCAGCTAAAAGCGGAGCAGCGCGACAGCCCAAGCACCTCTGCGGTGTGGCTGGACCGCAGCAGCTGGCTCGCAGTAACAGCTCCGGCTCTCAGAAAAACATGTTCCAAAACTTCTGGTATTTCTTAAAAAAAAAAAAAAAAAAAGTCTTTTACCGCAGTAATATTGCTAGCTTATATTACTGCTTGACTTGTTTTCCTCCAAGCAGCTGGCATTGCTGAAGAAGTTTTTCCTTGCCAGTCCATGGTAGTTCCCAGGGGTAACTAAAATATGGAATAAGCATCCAGCTCAATGCTTGGCAGCTGAAGGGGCCAACAGTCAGTCCCAAACAACAGCATAGGCGAGCACACCCAATTTCAACACTTACTACAGCAACAAAACACGAGCACTTCTCTGAAGTTTCAAGAAAAAAAAAAAACAGAACAAAGAATCAGGTATGAAAATAAAGATTTTTAAAAGACAGATGATTACTTGAGGTTAGTGGTTTTCTATATGTGAATACATATGGTCTCTGCTGGGAAATCAGTCACTACATGATAAAGTCAAGTCAGCTGATGTGATGTACTTAAAATAAATGGAGGTTGGCCTTCCTCATACTCCATCCTCCACACTGGAGCCACAGACCTTCCCCATCTCCTCTCCTCTTGATTTCGGATCACTCTGACACCTCTGTGCCCCTTCCCTTATTTCTAGGTGAAGTCCCAAGGCGCACCAAGGGCTGATATCAAAGGTCTTTGTTTGGCGGAACATGGCCCCGAGTGCAAGTAAACCAGGTCAGAAGGTTTATTCCTTTTCCCAAGGAGCCTCTGGCTTTTCAACATATGTATTTAAACACCATGGTGTGAACAGACATAAAGTTTCTGGAGCACAGCAGATAATCATTTTATTAAGGAGAGAGGAATTTCCGCTTTCGGGCAGGGGAAGGAAGTGACACTGTGCTGTTCCTCTGCAAATCAACTTTTAAATAGGGTTGAGGGGGAGGGAGGGCTTCTTTGTTTGTTTTTAAAGGCCTCATCTGAGCCTTTGCTCTTTCCAAGGAGCCTACTGCAGGGACTAGCATCTCCCAGCAGCACCACATGGTGAAACAACTTTACCTCGTGCTTCAGCTTCCTACTCAGAAACATTTCCATCTCGTGGTACAACATGCCCTTTCACAAGCGGAAGAAAACAAGTATCTTGAGAGTTGGTAAGGTAAACTGGTGATATTTTGTTCTGCGGGCTGAAGGAGAGCATTTAAATTGTTACAGTACTGTTTCACATGACCCACTGGCCTCTTTACCACATCCTCACCCCCAAAATAGGGAGAACATGAGGGAGGCGCGTGGGGTGGGAAGAGGTCTAGCTTTTTCACCCGTCAGAATTTCTAGGACACTCACACAAACACAAAACGTCCTTTCAAAACCCCCGTTTTCCCCCCAATCCAAACGTGGGCCATATAGCAATATCACACCGAGGTCATTGTGGAACTGATGGAACCCAACCTATCAATGCAAGCTCCAAAGGCTTCGTACACGACAGCCTGGGGGTGGCGAGGGCGTCTCAAGCGCACACGTGCTCGGTAAATCCCCTGGCCCAGATGCCCATTGTGAGAAAAGCGCTCACTTCCCAGCAATCCCACCACAGCTGCACTTGAAAGCACCAAGTGCAAAAGGCAAGATAGGAGTAGCCAGAGGCAACCTGAGCCAAAGACCCAGCTCATGGAGTCAAACAATTCTCAGAAAGCCTGGTACCTGATAATCTATGAAACACCGGTTTCACAACTTAAAACTACGGTCACTGGAAAAGCTGCTGATCAGCTGCTCAAAGCAGTGACTAGCAGTTCCCAGGTATCAGGATGCTTAGCTCTGACTCAACATATTGATACCCAAAAGTGGCGAGAACAACATGCTACTCCACAATAACAAGAGGCAATGAATACACTCCTTTGAAACAATCAGTGCCGAGAGCAACAGGACAAATGTTCATTTTCATTCTGAAAGTGGTTTCTTCAAAAATCAGATGTACCACCAACAGTCCCAGTCAATCTTCCTCAGAGGGCAGGGTGGGTTTTGTAGAGTCACTGCTACAACAGGCAGTATCTGTGTCAGGTCTCTGTCCCAGCCCTGCCCAGAATCAATCCCTGCTTACCTTTAACATGTGTTGAATCTAATTAAGGCCAGAAGAGAAAAGCAGAGGCAGTGCAGAGAAATTACAGATCCTCATTTGTAACTGAATGTAAATCTGCAAGCACAACCACAATTCAGCCAACAGCTCGACCCAGAATAGAATAGGCTGGAAGATTGCTAAGGGATTGTCAACTCGAGAGCCAGGCTTCCAGCCCAGCTCTCCTGGGAAGGGCTCTGTTGCAAGTACTGGCATCTCAACAGTGAAAAAGCTTCAGAAATAAAGTCACCGAAAATATTCAAAACAGTGATTTATGAGATGGGCCTGCCATAGCTCTTAAATGTATTTTTATTGTACAAAGCACAGCAAAAATGGTGGCTCCTGTTGCAGAGCGTTTTAGCACATGGTTGTTCACCAGGCTCAGTATCAGCCCGCACATTTTAGCGCAGCAAGATTCAGTTTAAACTTAACCATTATGAGCTCCTCAAAAAGCCAAGGAAGTTTAGAGCAGGTCTGTGAGCAGATAACAGCTGCTGAGATAAACCAGCGTCCTACCTTAACAAACACTTGCATTTCACTCCCAACTATAAGACTTCGGTCTGAATGGCTTTGTATTTACAAAGTGTCTCGATTACGCTAAAAAGAATTATTTTTTAAATAGGTGGGGATTTTTTTAGGTTGTCTGAACTTCCCATGCAACGCCAGCTCAGCGCTTTCATTCCCTTGGGAACCTTCTTCAAGAAACATTACAGAAATTAACTGAAAAAAAACATAGAAAAGAATGCATCTTCCATTCTCCAGTGTTTGAAATCACGCATTCATAAAAGTAAATGTTTGAAGGGAAGCTGATCAATCATATACTCACCCAGCCAGCAGTAAAAGTGTCCTAATAATCCAAGTTAATATTAAAACCTGTAAAGTAATAGAAGGCAAACCACTTCTCTTTTTTTGAATCCCTTCTCATATTTCCTCCCAGTTAGTGGATGCTATTCACTTTTCACTCCTAACCAGGAGATTTTAACAAATAAAACTTGCTTAAATTGGCACAACTGAAAGCTTTCAATCTAGCATTCTTCCTAATTTAAGCCTTTTCACTTAAGTAATACCAGTGAACTGTGAGGTGGCTCACCTCACCCTCAGAAGGATGAGGGAACAGAACGATTTTGCAGGTTTATTTTTCAGTAAGTTTATATGAAAACAGAGAAGTGCTTTATCCACCTCTCACAGGTTTCTGAGGCGACCTGCTTTGCCTGTGTAACATTTTGGGGAAGGACAGAAGGCCCAGGAGGGCACAACACTGAACACAAGCTGCAGTTTGAACACTTAAGAAGTTCCAACTTATTTTTCCAGTAAGTTTGAACATACATATAAATGCCAACTTATTTTTGTGGTCAGTTTTCCCATCTTCTGCCATGGCCTCCTGAAGCTGGGAGGACATTCAGCGTATCTGGGGGTATTGTTCAGTATTCGATGGAGCCCTGCATTCTGTTTTGCAACATCAAGGAAAAAAGGACCCAGCTTCTAAAGAAGAATTTTCACAAGTAATGTATTAAACTAATAATCTCCACGCCTATAATGCTTATGTAGGCTGTATTTTGCCCCCTCTGTTTAAAAGGGCTGAGCTAATATCGGTCAGTCAGTCTGCCCGTAGTTAGAAATATCAAACACAGATGCTGAAAGTTCTTTCTCTTTTCCTTGAGAATTTGTTCAGAACTTTCCTATTATGCACAATATCATGCAACTCTGAAGACTACGCTTACATAAACACTCTGAAATACACTGACAATTTAAAGCCATGGATATCTTCCTTTCTCACTCACTGGATTCTTATAGAGCTGGCTCATAACATACATTTTCCATTCCCACCCCAAGCAACAGCATTTTTTTTTGCTTTACATTTAGCCACGCATTCTTTGTTCACCAAACTGCAAAACCTTGATGTAGCACTATGCTGGCAGGAGAAGTAGTGAACTTCCTGATCAAGCCCACAACACTACCAATACACATGACTAAGATTTTACTACTTGGAATAATCTCCCTGTTTCATGGGATAGTACTGTGAGCCAAAAGCCTGTTTTGCTACAGAACAAGATCACAACTTCGACAGTTTCCATTTTAGATACATTTTGGCTGAATCCGGAGTTTTTGGTTTCTCTAACACGCCATCTCTAACTTCTGATTGCTGAAGAATTTCAGATCATTATGCAAAACCACAACCACGTATTTCCAGACACCAGTTCTACACCCTCGCCTCAGAATCACCACAGACAAATAACCCAACATGTTTTCTCAATATTTAAAGCCACAAAAGCTTCCTATATCGTAAGAATGAAAAAAAAAAATCTTTTAGAAGTTACATTGAATAGTCCTTGATAAACCTGAACATGTCACATGACCCAAGACCTTGCCAGCCTCAAGCCACAAGCAAGAATAGTCAGAAACCACAAGCCAAAAAAAAAAAAAAAAGACCAACCCCAAGAAAACACATAAGCTCAATTTCTGATCTCAGTCACCATGTTTTAAATCCATTACAACTTCAGACATTGGATTATTCTAGATACATACTAATTTCAGAGTAATTTAGCCAGAAATCTGATTAAACCCAAAAGATTAGATTTTATTTGGCAAGCATCAGCTATCACCAACTTCCAGCTTCCTCCAAAGAGAGAGTCACCCATCGGTTATCGACCTGAGAGAGCAAAAGTTGAAAGAATATTTTGCTCTCAGCCGACAGGCACTCACACCCTTGGTTATACACCAGCTATTCAGCTCAGCAGTTTAAAAAGAGATGGAGGGGACGTTTGTAAAAATCCTTTTCGAAACAGTACAGTGTCTGTTGCTAATTAAGAAAACCTCAATGAAGCACACAGCAAAAAAAGGGTCTAAAACCAACATAAACAGTTAAGGACAATAAACGCAAGCGAGCCCCTCTAGTGCTTGCTTCCCTCCTGGGAGGCCGATGATGGAAACCAGACCTCAGCGCCAGGTACAAGCGCACAGGCATGTGCGGGGCCCACGCCAACCGTTGAATCTCAGGGAGCAGAGACGAGCACGAACGCCTTCCTCCCCTACACGGCAAGCTCGCACACCATTTCCTTCTCCACCTCCAGCTTACCTGCTTTCCAAGACAGCCTGCCACTCAATGAAGCGCCTCCTTTAAAAGTTTCTGCCATCTGACCACCACGCTGGTTCTGCAAACCCCTCCCAGGGCACCCCAAGCTGGCTCCCTCAGCACCCCTTTCCCCACACCGCCTCCCTCACTACCTCTCACGGGTGTCCCCCACCCACAGGCCCCTCCTGACCCAGCCCCAAACCCTCCAACCCCCAGATAACTCCCCCCGAAGCTCCTCCTCCGATCCAACCCCCTTAACCCAGCTCCTCGAAAGCCTCCGGCCCCGGCTGACACCCCCGACCCGCCTCAAAACTCCGACAGCTCACCCCGACCCTCCTCCGCGAGCCCTTCAGCCCCCCCCGGCCGGCCCTCCGACCCAGCCTCCCTCAGCAGCCCCCCCGCCCGGCCCGCCGCTCCCCTCAGGCCCGCGGGACACCGCGGCCCGCCCGCCAGCCCCGGTGTGTCCCCCCCGCACCCCCTCAGCTTCCCCACGCCTCCCGCGGACCGGGCGCCCCAGCTCACCCGGGTTGGCGGCGGTCGCTGCCATGACCGGCGCGGGGACCCCAACCGCCACCCCCCCCCCCGGCCTCCCTCCTCGCCGCCACTGCCAAGATGGCGGCACAGGAAAACCCTCTGCGCTACCGCGCAGCCTAACGTGCCCGCCGAGAGGGGCGGGACGGGAAGGAAGCGCAGAGCTCCTATTGGTTCAGCCTGAGGGCGGCGGGGCGGGGCGAGCGCGCTCGGCGGTGCAGCCAGCAGGGTAGGGTGAGCGCGGCCATGCCCCGCCCCTACCACGGGAGGGGGGGAGGGACTTTGGGAGGGGGCGTGGCCACTGCGGGGGTGTGTGGCGAGGGGCGCGCGCGTGGGGCGAGTTAAAGGTCGGGTTGGGTGACGTCACGTGTTGGTTTTTTGGGTTGTGGTTTGGTTTTTTTTTTTTTTTTGTCGGCTGGCAAGAATCCTGCTGGAACCGGGATTTGAACTGGGGTTAGGGCTGGGACTGGGATGGGGAGTGAGGGTTCAGACTGGGAATGGGGTTTGGGCTGGGACTGGGGGGGCACCAGTACAGTGTTAATTAGGGCTGATTGGGGGTCCCCCCCCGGGCACCGCCAGGACCCCAAAACTCAGCTTTTGCCGAAAAATCACCAGAAAAACCACCCCGTGCCAGCTGGGGGGCACTCGCAGGGGTGGCAAAGATTTGCCGTAAGATAATCCTCTTCCTCAGTGACCCTTTTTCCTCTTGGGGGTGAAAAAATAAAGAAACCCGACGGAGCAGGGGCATTTCTGTAGTGTTTAAACCATTTGTTGCGAGGCTGTTTCACAAGAGCCCAACGGGCGGCTCAGTTCAAAGCCCAATGCGTCGCGGCTTCAAAGAGTTTTCCCCCGTTTCGTCCAAAATGAGCCAAGGACCAGCTCTAAATTATCTTGCAGGGCTGGGGAGGACCTTGCTCCTGCTGCATTTTGGAGATAAATCCTCCTCGCCACCCCTCAGTTCACCCCGTGTCCCCGCGAAGGGAGCCCAGAGCCCTCGCCCGCCGGGCGAAGGGGGTGCTGGAAATTGCGGGTGAGAATTTAATCCCCTGGATTGTTTCTCCCCATTACTGGGAGCGCCTGAAAGGCGACGCCGCCGCATTCCTGCAGTATTCATGAAGCCCCAGTGACGGCGCAGGAACCGGGGACCAGCGGGGCAGGGAGAGGGGCACAGCGTCCGTCCGTCCGTCCGTCCGTCTGGCCACAGGGAGGTAAGGAGCTGCCCCAGTCAGCGCTCATGGGACAGGGCTGGGACCTGGGGGCTTCCCACAATCCCAGGACTCGGTCCTGGTGATTTATGTGCTGTCCTTGGCATAGTTAGGGCTGTGGTCATCTACTCCTGGAGTGTGTTAGTTTTACAAACACATTAAAAAAAAAAAAAAATATATATATATAGGCATACGCCTATATACACACAGCTCGGTCCACGTGGCTCTGCTGGCGCCACTCAACAAGCCTCCACCTCTCCCCCAACCTTGTACAAATCTAATTATCTGTCCGCTGCCACAAATGTCTCTCTTCAGCAAAGAGAAAAAATTTATTTTCCACCCATGTTTGCTCACCGGTGGTTTTTCCTCCTGTCCTGCTTCCCATCCCAGCCAGCGTCTGTCTTGCCGGAGGTCAGCCAAGCTCGTTGCACCTAATGCAGCTGGGAGTGAGGGGTCCTGTGGGAAAAAAAAAAAACAAACAAACAAAACCAAACAATTTAATAGGGATATTTTAACCTGCTTTTTCCTGGGAAATGAGGGAAGGGCGGGGAAGGGAAGCTGGAAGGGGCGGCAGGGTGAGACGACAATGATCCCTGTGGTGAGGGCGCCTGGGAGAAGGATGGGAAGACACTGGGTGTCCCCCAAACCACAACCGGCAGCCGTGACGAGGAGCAGAGGGGGTCTCGAGGAAATTTTGGGCTGCCTTTGACACCCGTCCCGGGTACTTCCCCTGCACTGCGACCCGCTCGGCCCCCGTGAATCCCACCCGCCTCTGCCCCACAGGGATGCCGGCGGCAGGTGGGCACGTGGGGCCGCACACCTGAGGGCCGCCCGCATGGAGAACGCCACGGCACCGCCGGCCGTCGACCTGGACAAGGGCTTTGCCGTGGCCTTCGTGGTCCTCATGTGCCTCTTCCTCCTGGCCATGATGGTGCGGTGCGCCAAGCTCATCGTGGATCCCTACAGCGCCGTCCCGACCTCCACCTGGGAAGAGGAGCAGATCAACTGAGCCGGGGCGAGCTGGCCCCCAGGAACCCCTGCACCCCCCCGGGACCACGGCCCCCCAGCACAGCCCCCTCAGCACTGGGTGCTCCAGGGCACCCCAGGGCCCTCCAGCACTGTGGAGGCCCCAGCACCCTCAGAGCCACCCACTGCCCCCCAGCACCCTTGGAGCCACCCATCATACCCCAGCACCCTTAGAGCTCCCCATCACCCTCCAGGGCCCCCCAAGACCCCTCAGAGCTCCCCATCACTCCCTCAAGGCCCTCATCACCCTCAGAGCCACCCATCACCCTCAGAGCTCCCCACTGCCCCCCAGCACCCTCAGAGCTCCCCACTGACCCCCAGCACCCTCAGAGCTCCCCACCGACCCCCAGAACCCTCAGAGTTCTCCACCGCCCCCCAGCACCCTCAGAGCTCCCCACCGACCCCCAGCACCCTCAGAGCTCCCCACTGCCCCACAGCACCCTCAGAGCTCCACACTACCCCCCAGCACTCCCAGGGCTCCCCAGCACCCTGCCCTCCCAGCACCCTCAGAGCCGCCCATCATACCCCAGCACCCCTAGTGCTCCCCCATCAACCTCCAGGGCCCCTTGAGACCCCTCAGACCTCCCCATCAGCTCCCCCCATTGACCCTCAGCACCCTCAGTGCTCCCCATCAGCTCCCCCATTGACCCCCAGCACTCTCAGAGCTCCCCATCACTCCCCAGCACCCCTAGAGCTCCTTACCACCCCTCAGAATTTGCCATTGCCCCCCAGAGCTCTCCATCACCCTCCAGCACCCCTAGATCTCTCCCCATCATCCTCCAGGGCCCCCCAAATCCTCTCAGAGCTCCCCATCAGATCCCACATCGACCCCCAGCACCCTCAGAGCTCCCCACTGACCCCCAGCACCCTCAGAGTTGCCCACTGACCCCCAGCACCCTCAGAGTTCCCCACCGCCCCCCAGCACCCTCAGAGCTCCCCACTAACCCCCAGCACCCTCAGAGTTCTCCACCGCCCCCCAGCACCCTCAGAGCTCCCCACTGCCCCCCAGCACCCTCAGAGCTCCCCACTGACCCCCAGCACCCTCAGAGTTCCCCACCAACCCCCAGCACCCTCAGAGCTCCCCACTTCCCCCCAGCACTCCCAGGGCTCCCCAGCACCCTGCCCTCCCAGCACCCTCAGAGCCGCCCATCATACCCCAGCACCCTCCAGTGCCCCTTGAGACCCCTCAGTGCTCCCCATCAGCTCCCCCCATTGACCCTCAGCACCCTCAGTGCTCCCCATCAGCTCCCCCCATTGACCCCCAGCACTCTCAGAGCTCCCCATCACTCCCCAGCACCCCTAGAGCTCCTTACCACCCCTCAGAATTTGCCATTGCCCCCCAGAACTCTCCATCACCCCCCAGCACCCCTAGATCTCTCCCCATCATCCTCCAGGGCCCCCCAAATCCTCTCAGAGCTCCCCATCAGATCCCACATCGACCCCCAGCATCCTCAGAGCTCCCCACTGACCCCCAGCACCCTCAGAGTTGCCCACTGCCCCCCAGCACCCTCAGAGTTCCCCACCGCCCCCCAGCACCCTCAGAGCTCCCCACTGCCCCCCAGCACCCTCAGAGTTGCCCACTGACCCCCAGCACCCTCAGAGTTCCCCACCGCCCCCCAGCACCCTCAGAGCTCCCCACTGCCCCCCAGCACCCTCAGAGCTCCCCACTGACCCCCAGCACCCTCAGAGTTCCCCACCGCCCCCCAGCACCCTCAGAGCTCCCCACTGCCCCCCAGCACCCTCAGAGCTCCCCACTGACCCCCAGCACCCTCAGAGCTCCCCACTGCCCCCCAGCACTCCCAGGGCTCCCCAGCACCCTGCCCTCCCAGCACCCTCAGAGCCGCCCATCATACCCCAGCACCCTCCAGTGCCCCTTGAGACCCCTCAGTGCTCCCCATCAGCTCCCCCCATTGACCCTCAGCACCCTCAGTGCTCCCCATCAGCTCCCCCCATTGACCCCCAGCACCCTCAGAGCTCCCCACTGCCCCCCAGCACTCCCAGGGCTCCCCAGCACCCTGCCCCCCCCAGCACCCTCCAGTGCCCCTTGAGACCCCTCAGAGCTCCCCATCAGCTTCCCCCATTGACCCTCAGCACCCTCAGTGCTCCCCATCAGCTCCCCCATTGACCCCCAGCACTCTCAGAGCTCCCCATCACTCCCCAGCACCCCTAGAGCTCCTTACCACCCCTCAGAATTTGCCATTGCCCCCCCAGAGCTCTCCATCACCCCCCAGCACCCCTAGATCTCTCCCCATCATCCTCCAGGGCCCCCTAATCCTCCCAGAGCTCCCCATCAGATCCCACATCGACCCCCAGCACCCTCAGAGCTCCCCACTGACCCCCAGCACCCTCAGAGTTCCCTACTGTCCCCCAGCGCCCCCAGAGCTCCCCAGCACCCCTCAGTGTCCTCCCCCTCGGCCCCTCAGAGCTCCCCCCTTCGCTCCCCCGGGGCCCACCCTGGCCCCATCACCTCAGAGCCACCAGTAACCCCAGTGCCCACCCACCCTCCCGGGGCACCCCAGCACCCTCCCCGGCCCCTCAGGGTTAACCCGGCCCCTCAGACCCCCCCCCCGGCCCCCCAGCCACCTTCCTTTAGGTGGCAGCATCGAGCCTTTCCCAGGGCGCTGCCCCTTTAAGCGCCTCTGGCTCCGCCCCCCCCCCGCGCAGGCGCCTTGGCCAGCCCCCCCCACGGGCTGCCGGGAAGGGGCGCTCTCGCGCATGCGCAGTGCGGCAGGGGTGGGTCGGGCTCCTCGGGCTGCGGTTCTCGGAAGTGTCGTCGAGCGGCTTCCGGTTTGGAACGACACCCGCTTTCCCCCCCCCTTCCCCCTCTTTTTCTCCTTCTCCCCGACAGCCGGAATCGCGGCGACCCCCGGGGTTCCGGTGAGTGCGGCTGGCCCGGCCCGGGGCGGGCTGGGGGGCGGCTGTGGGGCAGGGGGGTTCGGGAGGGGGCTTATGGGGTCAGGGGGGTCGGAGTTGGGGAGGGGGTGCGGGGGGCCTGTGGGGTGCAGGGTGATTGGGGAGGGGGTGTGTGTGGGGGCTATGGGGCACAGGGGAATTGAGGGGGGTGTCTGGGGGGCAGGGGGGTTGGGGAGGGGGGGTGTGGGATTGTGGGGTGGGAGGTGTTGGGGGACTTTGTGGCAGCGCCGGGGTCAGATGGGCGTGTGGGGCAGGGGGAGGCGGGCGGGGGGGTGTGGGGAGGGACTGAGGGCGAGGAGGGGGCTGTGGGGCGGGGGGAGGTGGGGTGAGGACTTGGGGGGGGGCGCTTGGGCTGAGAAGAGAGCATGAGGAGCTCCCCGGGTGTGAGGCGTGGGGTGGCCTTTGGGGCAGGGACTGCTACGGGCCAAGGGGTTGATGGCAACGTGCAAATATAAGGAAATTATACGTTTCTATATGTAATTAGATATAAACTGCGGGGCGTAAGAGGGAGCGTAAGGGCGCTAGGCATGGGGGGAGCGGAGGGTGGGGGGTTGATGGGCGCTGCAGCGGGGGCTGTGGTGGCACTGGGGGGGTGCTGACAGGGCTGTTTGGGTGATAGGGTGCGTTTGGGGGGGGTGCAGGTGCGGTTGGGGGGGGCCGTGGGCTCCCTTTGCATCTGTAGGGCTGGGGGAGGGTGGGGGGGTTGTGGCGGGGGGGGGGGGGGGGGCGAGGGGCTGCTCACGCACAGGCAGGGTGAGGCGAGAGGTGAGGAACCCCGCGGGAAGGTGCTGTCGAGCGCCGCGGGCTCGGAGATGGTGGAGGCTGCTTGGAATTTTCACCAGCCCCGGCTCGAGGGGAGCCGCCGGGGCCGTGGAGCCGGGCAGAGGAAACTGCTGGGGCCGTCCTCGGGGCTGGGCGGTGTAAAATGGTCCGTGATCTCCGTGGGCAGGGACAGACAGGAGCTCCCCTGGGCCACTGGTGGGTTGGGTCGGGAGAGGCGTCTGCCTGGTGCTGCTCCCAGGACAGGCAGCAGGTTGGGGACCGTTGGAGAGGAGAGGGTGCTGAGGGGGCGAGGCGTGAGGCTCCGGCGTTTGGAGGGTCTGTGGAGGGATCGGAGGAGACGGCAGCAATCCCTGGTCGTCCTCTGGCTCCGCAGTGTGCTTGCACCTTGCTTGTTTTGGGCTCCTTGTGATCTTATCTTAACCACATATAGAGCATTTTGTTCCTGACTAGCTTTCAAAAAACGGAGCTTACGCTCTTGTGAGCGCCATGTCTTAGAGGTTTCACCGGCCTTTTCTCCCCAGTTTGTGGTGTCAGGTGCAGCAGAAATGGATTCCCAGGAGATCAAAGAGCTGCAGCAAGAAGTGATGGAGGAGCTGGGAATCTCCATGGAGGAGCTCCAGGATATCATCGACAAAGAGCTGGAGAAGTTTGAGTGTGTGAAGCAGAGGAAGCAGCAGCTGGAGGAGCTGGAGAAGTGCGTGAAGCAGAAGGAAGAAGAGGTGGCTCGCGTTGACCGGCTCTTTGACGACGCTTCAAGGTGGGCACGCTCGGAATCGCAGCCGCGTGTCAGAGTTGGGGCTGAGAGCAGAGGAGGGCGAGATGGGCTGGCAGGGTCCCATGTCCTGAGTCCTGCCCCTTTCCCTTCAGGGTAGACTGACCCTGTGACTCTGCATCAGCTCGTTTGCGTGTGGTTATTGAGGGATAATTAAAATTATTTCTCTGTGGTGTTAAGTCCTTCATGTGAATACTCTTCCCTCACCTCATCATGGTTGTATTTAATTAGCAGCTCCCCAGCGGTCGGTTTCTCTTTATTTCTGCAGTATTGTGGGATGCACAGCTGGGCTCACCTTGTCTTCTCCCATCTCTGCCCTTCTGTTTTTTTCCCCAGAGCCATTGATAAATGCGAGATATTGGTAAAGGACCTGTACTCCAAGCTGGGCCTGCAGTACCGGGAGAGCAGCTCCGAGGACGAGGACTTGGCTGCCAAGCCCATGGAAGTGATTGAGATCCCGGATGAGGACGACGATGATGTCATGAGTATCGGTTCAGGCTGGAGGCACAGTTCAGTATCTCGCTGTGCTGCATGGTACCGAGGGGAGGGTTGGGGATCTGAGTGTGTCCTGAAGCGTGGGAGTAGGAGGGATTGGAATAAGGATATCATGAAGTTGGCTGTAAGCCGGGCCGGGCTGTAAGCAGGAGAAAATGCCGTTAGCTCATGAAGAACATCACCGCTCGCGTGGTCTGCAAGGCCCCTCACTGTTCCATGCTTCCTGGAGTCCCAAACTGGGACTTCTCCCTTTTCCCACCTGCCTTGTCGTCCCCATGGAATGCTGTCCCTGTGGGGCAGCTGCCTGTGCAGCACGTCCTGTGTGTGGAAACGGTGGCTTAGTAGAAGCCTTGCTTGAGTGGATTTCTTGACAGGGACAGAGAAGGCTTTCTCTGTTCCCTCTTCGTTTGGTAACTTAACTAGGATGGATTTTTTTATTCCCCAAAATGTATTAAACCACTTTTTCCTCTTTAAACACAGGCAATAGTCCCAGAATCGTAAAGGATCAGACTCTGGTGAGTTGGAAAAGACCTGACTGTAGTGTATTTCTGAAGGGGGGGTTGCTGGAATGCTTAGAACAGCATTTCTTGTATTTGTGTAATTTGGTGCATTTGTGTATTTGTTGCAAAAAAGGAAAGGTTCTTCATATTTTCTTTCTCTTTCCTTCCCTTCAGCTGCGGGAAGCCATGGCTGCAATGAGAAGATCTGCCCAGGATGTTCAGAAATTTATGGATGCTGTGAATAAGAAAACAAATGCCCAGGATAGTCTAAAAGGTCAGTGTGCGAGAGCTTCCTGGTGCTGACAGATGTGTGCTGGCACCCGTGTGCGCCCCTACCCTGCTCCCTTCTGCCTCTTACTCCTGATGGTTTTCTCTCTGAAAAAGAAAAGAACTATTCAGTGTCCTTGCTGGAGAGACTCAGTAATATATGTTGATTCCAAATTCCTGTTCTTCCTTAAGCCCCTTTCGAAAGCAAATACAAGTGCTGCAGTTTCCATAACGTGAAAGCTTTTTAATGATGTTTAAAAGCTTACTTGCTGCTTATTCCATCCAGTGAAAGCGAGGCTCTTAGGCTGACTGAGGTGAGGGAAAGCAGGAACGCTTCCTGTCTCCGGTCCGACAGACGTCTTTGGGCAATTTCTAACTTACCTCCTGTTGTTGTTCCTTGGGTAGATGCACAAACCCCTCAGGAAACTCCTGGTGCTGTCCAGCCCGCTGGCCCTGCAGCGGCTGGGAGTGATCTCAGCAATGATGGTGATCTGAACGTTGGCATGAGGATCCTGGGCAAGAAGAGAACCAAAACGTGGCACAAAGGAACTCTGATTGCAATCCAGACGGTCGGTACGTCCGTGCTCGGTGCGGTGACATGGGGCGTGTGGCTGTCACTAGGCTTCGGGTGGGTGAGCTCAGTCAGGCTCGGAGCAGGTCCCCTCCCATGTCGGAGCACCTAGTGCCTCCTGGAATGAGTGGGAGAGCAGCACATCTCCGCTATAATATTTTACCTTCTAAATCAATTTCTGAAAGGCTTTCAAATGAGTTCTGAACGTGAATCAGAACGGGATAGGGTGCTGGACTTCTTGTGTGAAATCACTTGGGTTTTATTTACCTTGCCGCGTTGAAATGTCTTTCAGGTGCTGCAAAGAAGTACAAAGTGAAATTTGATAATAAAGGGAAGAGTTTGCTTTCTGGCAATCACATCGCTTACGACTATCACCCCTCGCCTGAGAAACACTACGTTGGCAGCAGGGTCGTGGCAAAGTACAAAGATGGGAATCAGGTTTGGCTGTATGCTGGCATTGTGGCTGAAACCCCAAACGTAAAGAATAAAGACAGGTATTAATTCTCCTCCGCAGTCGTGTAACCTGCTCTCTCTTTTTAGGAAAAAAAGAAAATAGAAAATTTGGATGTTTGCTGTTGTGGGAGCTAAACTCTTTTCTGCCCTTTCTGGGGACGTAGTTCTGAATGTTGTTTCTTCAGTCTGTCTTATCTCTGAATGTTCTGAGTGGAGCTTCCATTCTATTACTCACGTCCCTGAGTCAGAAATTATATCTGGTAATTCATTCAAATTATCACACAAATGGAAGTCTGCACTGCTCAAGGCATAAAACACAGCGTTAGGAAAGATGAGCCCTAGAAGTGTTTAGTGCCAGCAGCGTTGCCAAAGCACTTAAGGAGAAGCAGCAGCAGGTCTCAAGCAGCCTTTTCAGTCGTGTATAAATAAGGGGCAGGGCTGCTTTGCTGCTGCGGTTTAGGCTTGTGGTCTTTCTGTGAAGATTCATAAAGGATAGAATCACCCTCTTTGTTTCAAATGGGGATCTGCCGTAAATGCCTAATCGTGTCAAGTTCTATCTGAGACGCGTTTAATAACTGAAAATGGACTGCATTTATTACTCCTGTTGCAAATTTACTCCTCCTGGCTAGGCTGGCTTGTAACGCTGAGCTCTCCTAATGCAGCCTCCCTATCCTGAAGTTACTATTCAGAGGCGCTCGCGCTAGGCGGGTGCCGTATCCAGCCTTGTGGGTATCCCCCTCCCAGCTCCCCGTCCCCCACAGGCACTGGGGACTCTCATGCTCGTCTCCTGTCTGCAGGTGGAGCTCCAAAGACATCTTTTCTTGCAGAGAGTAGGAGCGATTACACTGTCTTTTCCTTCACCTCCTGCGGCGGAGGCACGGAGGGAACCTGGAGCCGC